CTTGATCCAGAATTCCTGAGCTTTTTCTACTGGTGCAAATAGTTTCAAGTTTGGATTCACAGTTGTGGGCATTTTTAATGTGGCCAGTCTTGAAGATACAGAGGCAAGAATGACTTAGCTTTCATTGTGAAGTTCCTGTCTTTCCCCGCCTTCCTTGGCTCCTGGACATACACCTCCGTGGTTCCTTTCTTTGTCATTCCACTGCTTGGGTTTTTTTCCCCACTGTCTTTTATCTTGTGAGTAAAGTTTGAACAGTACGCAGAAAGTTAACTGCCTGGAGTCTTTTAAATATAAGTAACACGCACCCAGTAATAAGCTGTCGGTTGTTTTTTTGCTGCCTGCAAAGAAACATAAACACAGCGCTCATTTCTGGCAGGTTTTTACTGTCAGAGTTTCTCCTATTATATTTATCTTACAATTTGCCAGGGGGTGAAGTTATTAAGTTTTAGCAGCAGCCATCGATCAAGTTCACAAGTTAACACGATAAAGGCTCTGTGCCGCTCCGATCCGGGAAAATGATGATCCTCACTCGGTAATTAACTAAATGAGAAAGTTAAATCTTACTTGAGAGCTGGGAGAGATGAAAGAGAGGTGTTTGTCAGTTTCTCAGTGGAAATTAGAAGCAGTTTTCTGCAATTCCCTAAGCTGCTGCTCTGTCATATTTTACATAAGCACTGGGAAAACGTCTTGTAATTAGTGCTGTCATGGAGGATTTTTTTTGCTGAAGGATGTTGGAATAATTCATTAGATTATCAAGAAAGGCTTGTGTCCTGAAATGATTAGCACAGTGAAATTTAAACCATTAACGATAACAAGTTTAGAGCTTGCTGCAGTGCAGAGGCACCCGGGGTATGTCTGTGCCTATTTCAATCATTTCTTATAATTAAACATTATGTCCTCTTTTTTCCTCCCCTTCACTAAGACCCATCCAAAATTCCTGTTAAGGTGGCTCTGTCTAGATCAGTGACTTAACCACAACGGGTGGTGCAAGCAATCAGAGGTGAAATTCTGCAGTTGCAGAGAAGCAGTAAAGGACATTTGTCTGTGTCAGAGCCTGTGGTCCCAGTGAGTCCAGGAAGGAGGGAAAAGCCCTCTATGACCTGTTGGTACTGGAACGTGGAAGAGAAGACCTTTCCTTTTATCTGGGAGAAACTGAAATTTGCAGTGGTGGTCTCAACTCTCGGAATTTTCAGAGCTTCAGCATGAAGATGTCTTGAAGGTTCAGAAGGTCCCAAACCTTGCTGGGATCATTTAAGCCATTCTTAATATTCTAAGAGACAGTTTCTCTTTGACTTGAAGAGATGTCTTCTTGCATTGAGAAACACAAAACCTGAATTCATCTACCCTGTGAAAGGTGCCTGAACAAAGACTTCTGCAATGACTAGAGGATGTAATTTTAAAAAATGTAAAAAAATTAAAAAGTAAAAGTTGTGACCACTCATATTGGTGGGTAAAACTATTGCTGTACTACAGTCAGGGAAGTTCCTTGGTTTTGGTTTTTTTCTGTGCTTTAGGAGGCTCCTTGGTTGCCCGTACTGAACTAAACCAAAAACAACCTTGGTTGTCATATATCGATTACAGCTGTGATTTACCATAGCTGGTTTGTTTTATATGCAAAGCAGTAGATTTATCCAGTCTTTATTTATCTGTGTTGAAATATTGCATCTTCCTACAGTTGCAAGTCATTATTCAGACTAAAGTCCTTTCATATATTAGTCCTCTTCTACTTCATTGGGCATACAAATGTGCTTTGTGTTAAATGTAGCCATTTGGAGAAATGGTCTTGTAATTATGGGCTGCAGTGGAGCATAGTACATAGATCCCTGAGCTAGTACCAACCTGAGGCACTCAATCCCCTGGGTTTCCTGGCACAGCTTATGAGCTCAGGCTCAGCATTGTCAGAGGGACACCTCTGCCATTCCTGCAGATGAGTCATGGTGCCCAGAGCCAGCTGGGGCACCTCTCAGCCCTCACATGCAGGGCTTTGTGAAAAGGAAGTTGGTAAAGCTTCATCTGCTCCAACTTAGTAGTTTGCTCTGTTACAGCCAAATTTCCTCCCAGATAATGAACTACCAGTGCTTATTCTTCTTTGTCATTTTTGTAAGTGAAGCTTATAAAAAATGTGATTGTATACAGTGCATTTGGATGGATATTTACCCCAGCAGTGTGGATGGCAAGTGGAACAGATTTTTTTTTTTTAGGTGAGGCCTGATTATTCTATAAAGAGAGGGAAGAGGCTCTAGATGATTCAGTAATACAGATGCTTGATGCAGTTGTTTTGTTGATGCTTTTATTTGGTAATAGGCCTTTTTCACTGAGCTGCCAGTGGTTTTTCACAAATCTTTAAATTCAAATTCTGGAACTTTTGTTCTAAACTGTAGTTTGAGTGATCTGAGAGCCCTGTCAGTTTACCTGTCTCTACTCTGCAGAACTGGTGTGTTCATGGCATGTCCTATCCTCTTGGTCCCCTGCTTGCATACACTGTAGGCCTGCTGGGCACACCTCTGGGCTTATGCTCACTCCTTTTGGTGGGAAACCAGGACAAGCAAGGATGAAAACCAAGTCTCAAGCTGGCATTATAAGAATGCAGCTGAAGTATGAACCTAAAAAATCTGATGTTCTCATGTGTGCTAATTTGGACATAAACACTGTAACATGCTTTTCTTAGCAGAACCAGTTTATAAACCTGGAGTTTCACTTCCAGAGCTGGTAATTGGATTCTTTAATTTACTCATTGTTCCTATCCAAGAAGCCTGTGTTCAGGCAGAATGAATTGCTTTGTCCCATCTAAGCCATCTATTTGTACACACATAAGCCATGACTTGTATTTGCACATGTTGCAACTTCTGTTTGATACCACAAACCAATGTTTAGAAGTAATTGGTGACCTGAAGGCAAGGAAAGGTCAGAATGTGGTGCCACCCTGTGAAAGGAGCTGCACCTTTGTGTCCTTTGCATATCAGCTGTACTCTCTGCTCCAGGCTCAGCATATTAGGCAGACTTCACAGTCTCTCAAATTAAAAGACAGATGTATAGGTTTTTAAAAAATGCCCTATAGAGACAACCTGCTTTGTAAGTTGCACAGCAAACAAAATGAGAAATTAAATGAGATCAAGCTTGTAGGTTACAGCATCTCCCCACTGTCTTAATCCAGCATTTTTACTGGGATGCCTGCTTTGCAGGCAGTTTAACTGCAGTAAAAATTACCAGAATTCCTTAACACAGGTGTTCAGTCCACTCCACTGGTAATCATCTTTTGGCAGGCCTTTAAGTACTATTGGACTTTGCTAAAAAAGTCCAGTCTTTCACACACAGGACTTGATGCCCACAGTCTCTTTAGGGATTTCTCTTGGCTCAAGAGTGTTTTTCTTTCCTTCTGCCCAGTACTGGCTCTGTGACTTGCTTGCAGTCAGTGCTGTCCATGTGAGGATTGAATGAAATTGAATTGAATGACACACAGCCACACATTTGCAGGGAAGAGTGGGGGTAAACTTGAAAACACTGAGCTGCAGAGTGGAGCACTGCTGGTGAGATCACCATGTTGTGTTCTCAAAGAAACTTAAATCAAGCTATAATCCAGAAATAGAAAAAGCTGCTTGTTAAAAATCACAGCTGCTTGCTGCCTTTTTCTACCAAAGGAAGGTCCAGCTCTCCAGAAATGTTGAAGAGAGTATTTAGGTGCATTATCTCTAAGAACATGAAATGTATATGGTGATCAGTTAAGTAGATTTTCAGGTTATGAGATTTTGGTGTTCCAAAATCAGGGTTGCTCTTGGGACTGGGAGGTATTGGAGTTCAGGAGTTATTTACTTCCGAAAAATGAGAAACTTGTGCATTCCAAATCTACTACTGGTAACTAAATTCTGTGGTCTCTAAATAGCCTGCTGTTTTGGCTCTTGCTGAAAAGAGGCTTTTTTGTTGTTTTTCCTTTTCCTGTAAAATTGGTTAATCATTGCATTTCTTTTCATCCATTAGATATCTTTGCAGAGAGATTTAGGGACTTGGTTTTTTTCCCTTAAATAATAATAAGGTCCCCTGGCACAGTTGATGCTTGAAATTATCATCATAGAACAAAAATATGCCATTCCTACTCAGTGTTTTATGTGTTCTTATATCTGTAATTTAGTTTTAATTATTTGATAATTAATGAAGAACCTCTGCCTGTATTTTGATAATAAAAATGATGTAATAATATTGACTGTTACTACAATGCTGTCTGGTGTTAAAATGTTGCAATGAAAGAGAGAAAATCACATGTTTTCAGCAGGAAATAGAAACTATTTGACCAGCATAAGAAAAAATAATTTCCCAGCTAACTGTTAATCTTACTTAGACAAAGGATACTCTTGCAATGCAAAATGTGCGCTTTTCTTCCAGTTAAATCATTTAGAAAGCAGAATTTATATCTTACTATCAAGTAGTAAATTGAAATGTCAGTGTTCTGTTTTGTCCCTGAAACTCTTCTTTGAGCTGACTCCTGCTGACAAGATATTAACAGTGCTCAGAAAGTTGAAAATATTTTATTCTGTGAAAGAAGTATTTACCAAATGTCAGGGTGTATTTTAGCTGGCTTTGCTCTCAAGGTATAATTCAATTTTTTTCATCCTTTTCATGTATTCCCTCTGAATTTTAGCAGCAATCCATTCTTTAGAAGAAAAAAACAAACCAGAGTCTAAATGCAGTTTGCTGTTGGTGCATTGAAATATCTGGTATATGTACATTAGGAATCTAAATGCATTTTATTGTCTGCATGTTAAATAAAGTTATGTTTATGTTAAGCTGCCACTGAAGGTTTTCCATCTGACCAGGGTCCTTTGGGTGCAACTCTGGCACGAGCCAGTGCATTGTCCTGCAGGCTGTGCTTGGGCTGACTGCACCAGCCAGGACGTGTGGTCTTGTATTTTGCCTTCCTTTGTCTGCTCCCTAAAAGAAATTGTACAGCTGCTTGTGTTTCTTCTCATATGTGTTATTTAGGTTGTTCCTCTCCTTCCTGTTTACAGACAAAACTTGCCAATGGCACTTCCAGTATGATTGTGCCCAAGCAGAGAAAACTGTCTGCAAGCTATGAGAAGGAGAAGGAGCTCTGTGTCAAGTACTTTGAGCAGTGGTCCGAGTCTGACCAGGTGGAGTTTGTGGAGCACCTCATCTCCCAAATGTGTCACTACCAGCATGGACACATCAACTCATACCTCAAACCCATGTTACAGCGGGACTTCATCACTGCACTGCCAGGTATTTCTGCAGGCAGAGGGAGCTTGCTCCCTGTCTTTCAAAAAGCTATTCCGTTCCACCCTACCCTGCTGGAGAGGTCTCTTGTAGGGTCAGTTTGCAAAACAGATAGTAGCTTTTGAATGAAAAGCTCTCTACCAGCATAAAATGTCATAATATTTTGTGTTCCTACTGTATGTCAAGGCATGATCTAACACCGTCATGTTTTGTCTAGGAGTAAATGATAGCTAATCTGTGTATTGTAAGGGTAGTTATCCCAAGCCACAGGGCAGGTAGTTGTGCTCTTAATGCCCACAACGATGCATGAATAACGAAAATTTTTAAAATTAAAACTACTACTCTTTCTGGTTGCTCAGCTGAGGTTTTCCCTTTTCTTATTTAGATATTTGTCTTTCTTTCCTACTGAAATAACTTCCTGAAGCCACTGCTTTGATTATGTGTTTATTGCTAATATTAAAACGGAGAGCATAAGAGCAAAAGATGGAAGTGTTCTGTTTTTTACACCTTTGCAGTGCTTTCCATTGAAAATATTATCCCAGCTAGTCTCAGATGTGGCACTGGGTGGATCTCACAGAATGCACACATAAAGCAGTGTACATGCAGTTTTATATCGGTCCTATCTTATAGACGGGAAAACTAAGGTGGTGGGAGATCAGATATATACAGTAATTGAGTTTCAGAACCAAACAGAAATTCCTGGTTCTTTCACTAACATTTTTTCAGACCATTAGATCATACCTGTGTAGATAGATAAATAGATAGATAGTTAATAGATTAGCATTCCCATGCCATTGGTCCTTAGTTTGAGAGGGACCTCAACATCAAGTGGTACAGATGTTGTCTCTAAACAGCCAGTTGAAGAGAGGTGTTTCTTGCCAAAAGCTTATTCTGTTAATACCTTTGGAGAAGTGCTGAACTTTTGGCAATTTGATCAATCCTGTCATTTCATCATTCTTCAGAAGGGAGTTCTCAACATGAAATATAAATTCTAGCCTTAAAAGATTGAAAAAAGTATGTTTAACTGTGAATTGTACAAAGCATAAAGGCACTGCAGGAGTTTGCTAGGATGTTAAATAAGTAGACTCATTGGATTTTAAGCTCATTGTGCCCAGTAATCAAATAGCTGTTGTAGCATTAAAAAAAAATCTTAGTTATGCTAAGTACCTGCTTTATGTTAGTTTTTAGTAGTCCAATGGCAATAATCTTGTGTACTTAGAGCAGCATTATAACTTGTGGAGCTGCTCTGTTTCAGAAAAATAAGAAGTGTTTGGAAACTGCGTTGGTTTCCCCACTTTTAAAGTGGAAGTATACATGTAGGTACATACACAATTTTTCCAGGTCTTTCTCCACAGAACCCCACGAAAGCATCCCATGAAATCAACACATCTCACTGCACTTGGGTAATTTCTTCCTACAGGGCTTTTTCTGAGAATTTTGGGCAGGTGCTATAAATACTTCTAGAGACATTCCAAATTTCCTAGCCACACCATATTTGTTACTGGGCTATTCACAGTTGCCCAGGAAGCAGCTGATTTTATTCTATCAGAATGCAGAATAAATAGGAATCAAGGAGCTAATATGTGAGTATTTTAATAGTTGGGGGAAATGTGTGCATCAATAATGTATGGGCATCAATTTGCATATTTGCAAAGTGCAAATGTCCTAGTGAATATAGCTCTAAGGGAGAAAATTAATGGCAAGGAATTACTTTGGCACAGACTCTCTGCAGTCTCTCAGGATGTCCTGAGTATAAGCAGGTTCTAATGAGGGGAATGGGAAGGGAGGAAGGTAAGAAACTGCTTAGAAAAAAGTGATGAACCTAAAATTCTAAATTAAGTCATATAATGAAAAAAAACCCTAGACTCTCTAAGTATTTTTTATCTTTCTGAAATTCTCAAGTGTTCAGTACTCTGGTTTCATTTTTACTACTTCATTCTCTCTCCTGCTCTCCCACTTGAGTGAATAAAACAATAAAGCTACTTCAAAATCATGAGGCATCTTATCTCTGTCCTCCTAGCATGGTCCCAAAGAATGACCAGAATTAAAGGGTCACGGGCATGTTTTACTAATATAGAGTAAAGTTGGCTCAGATTATTTTTCCAGTGCTTTGCACTAATTAAGGTTGTTTGAAAAATACAGCTTAACTGTGTACTTAACAAAGTTTGTTCAGTTTCTGAAAAATAAGGCTTTTGCTTAGCGTTTTCAAACTGTTTAACATTTTTTACGAGGAAAGTCATTTTGATAAGGATTTCATGTGTGAAATAACTGAAACATTCTTGTTGGTTCAGAGGGCTGAAGGGCTAATCATGTTTCATATCCATTTAGCAAAATCTTCTGTGAGCAGTTTTCCCTTTTAAGGAAGCAGTGCTGTGTTAGATACATGCCTCAGTGAGTTGTGCTGTTCCTAAGAAACAAAATAATAAAATTGAGTTTGCAACCAGGCCAAAATAGCTCTGCCCATCCACTTACCATAAATGTGAGGAGGAGAGGCCAAAACATTTAGTATTCTTTCACTGCAAAGGGTCTAGTTTCAATGGCAAAGGATGACTTAAGGACATGGCAGTAGTTACAGCACCTCATTGCAGCCAAGAGCCAAAGTACAACGCCTGATGAAATAGAAAGGGCACATGGGTGAAGATTACTGTGCCTAGGTTTTGCAGTGTAGCCCTGCTTCCTAAAGCCACCAGTTGTTCCCCATATATAAAATTAATTCATCCTGTAACAATGCTGACTTAAAGCCACTTGTAAGGATACTATAGAGGCAGGCATTTGTAAGTGTCCTGGTGGGTCTGTAAATGTCTGTGAGCCTGCTGGAAGTAGCAAAGACTGGGAAATGTGCCATTTCCACACAAAGCTTCAGGAGCAGGGCAACAGGATGTCCCATGCCTACCCTGCCACTTGTGGAATTCCTACAAATTCCAGTTCACGTTCACTAAACCGCTGTCTCGCTCTTTTCACGATTTGCTGTGGAGTCAATCTAAATTTACAAACACTTTTTTTCTAATAGTGGTTGTACATGTCTTTTCAGATTAAATACATAATAAAGGCTAGCCATGCTTTTATTTTGCAAGTTGACACCTAATTTTGCATCTCTAAAGATAAGAAATGTCAGACCTCTTTCTCCACTCTCTGGTTCTGCCTGGTATCATTCAGATGCTTTTTCTACATAAAGATTGAAGCATAAAATGCTGAGCAGAATGTCTGACCCAAAGTGTATTCTAAGTTTAGTATATTTGAAAGCAGCAGAAGGAGGCATGCTAGATTGTCTCATCTTCATGAAGTGATCTTTTCATTAAGGAAGAAAAGGTTGGGCCATTTATGTGTCATGAACTCTAATCAAAGTCAGCTGGTTGCAACCAGTTTGGGTTTGCAGAAGTCCAGACATGTGACTGTAAAAATGTACTTACTGCCTTTTCTTTCCCTCACAAGGAGGGCCTGGTCTTTAAGGTTATTGTTTAAAAGCAAGAAAAGATGTATTTGACTTTGTCCCAAATATGAACCAGAGAGAAGATGTGTGTAATACCAATCTGCCATGCTTCATTTTTGGTTGGACTGAACTTTATGCCTGAGGGATGATGTGATCTAAACTTTCACAAAGCATATGAAATTTAACCTGTGATGTGAGATAATCTCTTGGTGGTGTGTCTCACTTGTAAATTAAACAGCTTTCAAGAGAAGCTATATTTGCACAACTTCTCATTTAAAAGGCATCTTGTTTTCCAGAAGTCTTAATCTTGATAATGTTTGAGTTGGTAAGGGCACATTTTTACTGACTACATCCATCCAGTTAAGAAACATTTCATAACCTTTCCTACATAGACGTTACATTGAGCTGCTTGGTGCTAACCAGGCAATTGCTTTACATTTCACTCCAGTCATGTTGAAGTAAAGCCAGTCCTGGTATTCACACTGGAAAATATTTGCAAATTATATTATTTTGGTGCTTTTTTTTCCTTCACCCACTAAAATAAATGAAACTAGCAAACTTGCTTCACTTTCTCCCTACACAGCCTCTCCTTTCCTCTTGACGTCCCTGTGTATCTGCATATCCTTCCCTCCCATGTCTAAAGGTACCACTACCCTTCAGGGCACACATTGGGAATATATATTTTTTTCTTCATTACATTTAAAAGCTACTGCTTTAGCAAAAACAGCTTTTGAGCCGTTGCAACATGAGAACAGCTGTAGCAGTGAGATGAGAAATGGTCCTAATATAGAGAGATTTTGGGGGCTGCGTTGCTGAGTTGGAAATGCCATCCGTAGAATATCCCCCTAGTGCTAAAACCCATCGAAATAGATTGGAATGACTTCTTGGATTCTTTATTATTTTTAATGACTTGTTGTGCTATATCCAAAGGAAGTTAGAGAACACTGCTCACTCCTGAACTTAGCCTCAAATGCTCTTCTGTGCATTTGGTCCAGCTCTGCATGCAGAAGAGGAGATGGAAGGAGAGTGTCTCTTTGTACTAGTAGGGGGAGTTGTTTTAAACTCCATGTCTGTCCAGCAAATAATGTTTTTCTCTTGTTGTTGTTCTCCCCCAGCTCGGGGATTGGATCACATTGCTGAGAACATTCTGTCATACCTGGATGCCAAATCTTTGTGTGCTGCTGAGCTGGTGTGCAAGGAGTGGTACCGGGTGACGTCGGATGGTATGCTGTGGAAGAAGCTCATTGAGAGAATGGTCAGGACAGACTCCCTGTGGAGGGGTTTGTCAGAGAGGAGAGGATGGTAAGGAAACTGAATCTTCTTTTGCCCCCATTAAGTAGGAGTTGTGTGTTTCAAACCATATTTGAAGAAGGTTATTCAGCACTGAAGCATCATGTTGGTTCCAAACCTGACAGTTGCTTACACCAAAAATCAGAGGTTGAGGAGTTAGGGCATCATTTGGCTAGGTGGCAACATGGGGGGGTTTTTTCCTCAACTTCCTCATCTGATTATGCTCTTACCCCACTGTGACAAGTGAGATATACAGACTGAGATTTTTCCACCCAGCCTGTCTTTCAGTTCAAATTAAGAAGCTGTGTGTGCCTCAAGGGAACCCTAAACCGGTCAGCAGTTCAGAGCAGAAGAGCTTTTTCAGGAGTGGCAGTGAGGGAGCATGTGCTATGAATTAGTTCTTTCCTGATAGGTCTGTTTGTTTTCCTCAGCAGATTTTCACTATTAGATATCTGTTTAATTTTCAAACTGGAAGCTGAGGGTAGGTACCACAGAGAATAGGGGACTTTAGAAATGCAGATAGATTAGTTAATAATCATCTGGAATAGCCTTACTACAATGTAGGTCTCACTCAAGTTTGAAGCTGCTCTGCTAACATTTCATTAGAACTTTCTCTCTCAGGGGTACACCCTTTAATACATAATTTTCTTTTCCAAGGGTGTCCCTAGGATGTTGGCAGAAGGGAAACTGGGTATGAATATTTCATAAACAAGATAAAAGTGACAGCTCAGGCATTTTGGTTGCTATTAAAAAGAAAAAGATACAGAGTTGCAAACAAAGACTTCTGGTTTATGGTTAATTTTGTTATACTGTTTGTCTCAGGAAGTAAAGGCAAGTAAATCAGGATTATGAGACATTCTTTATAAATAAATACTACTTTGATCTGCTTCCAATAGTGCAGGGTTTCTAAAGAGTGTAAAATAAACACAAGCATGGCAGTGGTAACTTTTGCATTTCTTTTACTGCCTTATTCTCTCCAGGACTTCTATTTTTTCTCCCTACTGTTGAGGTCACAGTAAGTCCCAAGAGGAGCTTGAGAAGTCATTTAGTCCCTTTTGTTTCCCACAGGCAGAGACAGGTTTTTCTTAAGTCATCCCAAATATTTGTCTTAACTTGTTCTTAAAATCCCCTACTGCTGGAGATTCCCTAGGCAATGCCTCGAAAAGGGATTTGATGTTTTTTGGTTTTTTTTTTACTCTTTCTAACTTCAGTGTTTAAGATGTTTTCCTGATATCTAGGCTGTCTTCCTAGCTACAGTTTGACTTGTTACGTTTAACCTGCACAGATAAACAGGACAGCTTCTCTCTCTTTTTTGCAGTAATCTTTTCCATGTTGGAAGATGACCATGTTTTATGTTTTGGCTGCACTAGCCAACCATAATGATGTACTGTCTTGTCCTCTTACTATTTTCAGTTTTCTCTGTTTAGACCCTTCCCAATTACTCTACTCCATTCTTGGACTATGGTATAATCAGCTGAATGTCTTCTGCCAAGGCATCACTGGGGTTTGTTCCCTCCACACTTCAGAAATAACATTAGTGCCAAATATTAGTCATACAGACACATGACATTTCTAAAACACAAGTGCAAAATTTTGCTTCTCATCTCAAGGACAGTCACCCTGTTACTGCACCTCTTCTTCAGGTTTGTGCTATGTGCTGGAGGTGGCTTTAACACAAAAGAAGTGTGCCCAAGTCTTTCAGGTTGCCCTCTGGTTTTCTCTGTGATAAATAGGTAGAACTGTGTGGTTAAGAGAAGCAGACAGGAAATACCCAGTGTAATTGCATCTCTGCCATGTAGAGGGTTATAGCTTGTAATCAGTGCTAGCTCTGTACATGGCACAAGGAGATGACTAACTGGACAGTTCAGAATGATGGATTACTGGTGTTACTTGGTTACAGCTCCTCAATTTGCACATGAGCTGCCTGATTTCAGCATTTGCAGCTTGTGATTTACAGCAGAACCCCCCCCATTCTGCGGCATGACAGCCTTCACAGGCAGATTGTCAGGGAGCAGTAAGGGTTACACAGATTTAGAGAAATATAAAACAGAAGCCCAAAATCTAGACACGCTTATGTCCATCTGATTGAATTGGCTGGTTATCAAAACCTGCAAACAATAGTTCCTTTTATCCCAAAGCCCACAGCACAACAACTACTGGGATGCCATGGAAATTCCAAGCAATCCTTCAGCTGAACAGTAAACAACTGACTACATGCAGTAGGGCACGACTTACAGGTAGCAAGCAGACTTTGTGTTACATTAGCTAGTAAAGTTAGAAAGAATAAAAAGGTTTTCAAGCACATAGGTTTGTACACAGGTTTTTCTAGACCTGCCCCAAGTCTTCCAGGATGTCTCCGAGGTATTCTGTGCATCTCCAAGGAGGTTTTTGTCTTCCTTGGCCAATAGTATTAATTTTCATGAATGCACTTCCAGGCTGGATCATAATAAATAGGCATCTGCCTAGGTAATGGTTTGTCTGCATCCATGTGTGCCATCTTCATGTGTTTGTTCCCATATGCATGTCTGCTGGTCATTGTATTTGAAGAAACAGGTGATTCCTCTGTTGAAACATGAAAGTACTTTTCTGTTGAATTGTACTTGATTTAAAGACGATCAAAAGCATTTGTCATTTTGTTTGTCCAGTCGTAGAGTTTGGTACTGCCTTACAACCCAAAGATTTTGGTTTGTTGTTGTGATCTCTCTAGTTCAAGTGCATCAGGGCAGCTATTGTACAGTCTCTGAAGTGAGTTTTGAGGTGTACTATATGAAAAGGACAGGAAGGCAATGCACAAGGAAGTATTGAACAATTAATTATGCTATAATGGAGCAAGGGAGGGAGAAGTGGAGAGCTGGCCCGGTGTAAACTCTGTGCCTCTGATGCCAGGATTACACTCGGAGGCATTTGTGCCTCTCTCCATTTTGTGAGGCATGTTGCCAGGCAGAGCAGCAGTTAGTACGCCCATGGTGGGGTTTACTAGCTTCCACACCGTGTTTGGTGGCTTCTTAACTTCAGGATGAGGAATTAAAGTTTTTTACACAGCAGGCAGTGATTACCGTTTACAGATTTTTTTGGTAACAAAACCCTAGCTTGGGATATGAGTATTCCAAATTAGTGTTGAGATGAGGGAGGCACCACAGATGAGGTGTTGCTTACCAAAACAGAGTGGTAGCAGTAAAATGTCTGTGTACCCAAACTGATACTGTTCCTGCTAATGCAGATAAAAGCTAGCCTTGAATGCGTAGTGAATTTGAGGGTGCCTTGGCTTCTTTTGTTTACTTTGTGTGCTTTATTTTAAAGGTCACCTCTGATAATGTGTGTGACTATTTCAGGAATGAACCATTCTCAACCCTTACTGAGCTGAATGGGCCCATGTCCATAATAGAGAATTTATTTCCCTTCTCCGAGTTACTAGACACAGATTTTTCTTGGGTATTTCAGTGTTAAAATGCAACACTGACACGTTGCAAGGCAAACAAAAAAGGAACCATCCCATTTTAGTAAATTAAGTTTGACTATGAATTTGTCAGCAGTGGTTACCCATTTGTAAAATGCCAGGAGAACTTTCTCCAAAATGCTGAAACATGATTTGTGTTCAATGGAAATGTTATTTGTTTTCCAGGGGGCAATATCTATTTAAAAATAAACCTCCTGATGGAACTGCACCACCCAACTCCTTCTACAGAGCACTTTACCCCAAAATTATACAGGACATAGAGGTAAGAAACAGCTGCCAGATATGATGGTGTTTCACCAGTTGGTTTTTTAGTTTTGCTATCTTCAGGTGTTCCTGATTTATTCATGATGCTGAAATTCTGGAGATATTCCATTGCAGTGTAGTATTTCATTAAATCTGACATGTCTGTATTTGTCTGGAGTTTGTAGATCTGGGATAGTTATAAAAGATCCTGCTGCTCCTTTAGACAGAGGATGAGTTGGATTGTTCAGTGAGCTGTTTGCAGGTGAAGTCTCCACACTTTGCACATCAGATATCACAGCAGCACTGTAACATCTTGGTTTTCTCTGTTCCACAGTACTTTGCTCCTCCTGGTGCAACGAGATCTAATAGGCTGTTACAGGAAGATATCAAGAACTGAGGCAGGGAGAAAGTGCATTTCTAAAGTCTGCAATCCTAAGACTCAGGGAAACAGAAAGCAGCTAAGCATGTTTGCCTTGCATTTAGTGTGAGCAAAATGGTGTGTTCTGGTTGTTTCCTAATGACAGAAGCACTGCTCGGGCACTGTTGTGACAAGTTTGTAAAAGCACTGAGAGCGCAACTGAGACTTTTTCTTCAGTTATTTAGCTGTTGAGTCACAGGGGGATAAAGATTGGAGATAGAAAAAGGCTTTTAGGTTACTTCTTCCTCATCATTCCCAACAACACAGACCAGTTTAGCCATGATATGTTTTCCAAGCATTTGTCTGTTTAATTGGTTTTATTACATGTATTTTAGAAAGCAGTTATGTCATTGTATGGGCCTGACTGCAGGAAAAAGTGTAAAGAAAAGTGCTGCCTTCTCAAGCAAACAAAAAAAAGGGGAGATAGTTCCATGCTTTTTTTTTCCCTACATCTCATTTGTCTCCTGTCTCTCCTCAAGACAATAGAGTCAAACTGGCGGTGTGGAAGGCACAGTTTACAGAGGATCCACTGCCGGAGTGAGACAAGCAAAGGGGTTTATTGTTTACAGTATGATGATCAGAAGATAGTAAGCGGCCTACGAGACAATACTATTAAGGTGAGAATGCTCCATCATGGCATACTAATGTCTTGGAGTGCCTATGCCATAAATAATAATGTCCTCATTTCAGTGACACCTACCCAGTCTCTTGTTAACCTAGCATTCTCCTTCCCCCATCTCCCACCTGCGCAGCAGCTACGCCTCTTTTATTTGGCTAGAGGGTCCCTGTTTTCAGACAGACAAGCTTCACCAGCAGAGTTTCTGTCCAGCAGTAATTACAGGCTATGTAATTACTGGGCTCTGTACCCTAATGAGAAGGGTAAAACTAATATTCGTAGTAAAGCCAAGAATATGAAAGATGTCAATGTATTGCACCAAAGAGCCTGTAGAAGACTCTGCACATGCCCCTAAAGGTGTTCTAAGTGCACTATGGAAGATGTGCTGTAGTGAAAAACAGTCTAGTCAAACCAATAAGTGCTGAAAAATTAAAACCTTACTGAACTGTCCAGTTTTGAATGTTTGCTGTCTTAGATCTGGGATAAGAATACATTGGAATGCAAGCGAATTCTCACCGGACACACAGGTTCTGTCCTGTGCCTCCAGTATGACGAGCGGGTGATCATTACTGGATCTTCAGACTCAACAGTCAGGTGTGTGCTCACGATTTGGTCTTTTATGTTTGCCTCTTAAGATTTTAGCTTTGCAAGCTGCTGAAATGATCTCTTCTTAAATGTGTGCTGTTCAAGCAGTTCCACGAAGTAGTTCAGTGTATTTGTTCAGCATTGTGCTGTCCTTGTTTATCAGATGTCCATGCAAATCGCTGTCAAGGAGAAATGAGAAACTAAGCCAAGGCCAGTCAAGGTCAAGATGACTTAGGAAGGCCATCTGGCATTTCACCAAGGTTTTGCATGTTTTCACACTCCCTGAGAATGTTACAAATTCTCTTTGAGAATAACTTTTGAAGAGTTGAAGTTTTCAAAGCAAGTTTGAAGGTTCAGTCATCCATTGTCATTTAATTTTAACAGAATATGTATGGCTAGATATCCTGTGACTTTAAATTAAATTTCAGCATGATGTTTCTTTTCATTCCATCTTTCTAACCTTGCTTTCCTTCAAGTCTCCAGTAAAAGGCTGGATACCTCAAGGTAGCACTTGTGGTGCATGTTGTGAATTTGTGCATTTGTGAAGTCCACTAGTCATATTAGAGGATACTCGAGAGTGTAAGACCTGTACTGAACTGAACCTGTACCTGAACTTGGATGTGAAGGGGCAGATGTGACTTCTCCATCTTGTTACATACTCCCTCCTTGTCAGTGTACAAGCATTGCTCGTGCAGTGAAGTTAGCAAAAAGCTGCATTGGTGGCCTTTCCTGGAGCTATTAGCATGCATTCCAATGGCTGCAAGCTCCTCTGTGCTTGTATAAACTACTGCAGTTAAGCTAATAACTATTAAATTGAATTTCTGACATGTGATGCATGCAGTCTTGCAATTCTGCTAGGTTTTGGGGTCCTGTCATTCATAGGAATCCAGAATTTCAGCAACACCGCCTTCCTGGAGGTGATGTGGAAACTGCACTGGGCTAAACAGATCACAAAAGGAGAGGCTGATTTCTGTAACAAGCACTGTCATTTTCCGTATCAGGCCAGGCAGGCCAAATTGCAGACTGGCTACTTGCCCAGGAATACTTTGTCTCCCACTGTATGTATAAATGTTTGTGCAGACCCCAGAGGCACATAGGATGCATCACTTTTATCCTTGGGTCTCCTCAGGAAGAGAGGCTTCATCCAATAGACAGTACAGATGGGCTCTTAATGCTTCTGAGATCTCAGGGATGCACTTGTCCAAAGAAGTCAGTGGGTCTCCAGCTCCTGTTCAGTTTGGCAACCTTGTCTGCAAACTGTTTGTATGTTAATAGCTCAGGTCTTTAGTTTTTTTCTCCTTTGCATTTTCTAATTGGAATGTGGTTTTCTTTCTCATTTTGAGTTTATAAGTTGATATAATTTAGTTAAAAAATAAGACATTAGAAGTCTTTCTCACATCTTGCCTTTTCTTACTGCTTGCCTTATTGGCAGCAGGAAGTTTTAACTTCTGCAGAGTCTGATGTGCCTGATGATACAGCCATTTTCTGCTTTCGTATAGTGTGTCTGGGAAACAGGTGTAATAGCACCAAAAGAAATCTCTTTATAGAGGGCAAAAGAAGTTTGCCAACAGAATAGCCCAAAATAAATATTTTTAAGGCTTAAAATCTTCATTTCAAGTACTAGAAGTTCTGTATGAAGCTTTTGTCTAACTTGCATCTTAAATTATCTTTCAGTTGAAACAGTTGGTTCCAATAACATTAAATTGACATAAATGCTATGTCTTAATTTGGGTATTCAGCACATTCCTGGAATGTAGCTTTGTACCAGATGCACCGCAGGGTAAATGCAAATCATGGTGCAACTTGTGGCAATTACTTGTATTTGTTTGAAAAGAATTATCTTGTCTTCTGCTTCTCTATAAATTACCACTTGAACTGATAGTCCTGTGAGAGAGGTCAAAAATGAAGCCTGTCAGGAAACTTACTTCTCTACATTGACTAGAAATTAAGTGTATAATAGGCTGGCACAACCAGGAAACACCAGATTTTAAGGCCATCAGTCTTCTACCTTTCCTCAGCATTAAATTCCCTTAATTAAAGAATGCTTTTTTTCCTGGGTGCATTATTTTTATGGTGTTAACTGCATTGCAGGGTTTTTGGCTGCTGGACTGTCTCAATGTATGCATAATCAACAGGTTTATCTAATACATTTTTTAATGAACTATTTAATAGATGTAGATATAACTTGTGGTGTTCGCTTCTCTAATATCGCTGGAGAGTCAATTACCTCTCCCTGTCCTTCTCTCGCTCTGCAGAAAATTCACTGTGCAAGTTTTTAACTCTCTTCTCTCTGGTTTGAAATCTGAACGTGCAGAGTGTGGGACGTGAACGCAGGCGAGATGCTGAACACCCTGATCCACCACTGCGAAGCCGTGCTGCACCTGCGCTTCAACAACGGCATGATGGTGACGTGCTCCAAGGACCGCTCCATCGCCGTGTGGGACATGGCCTCCCCCACAGACATCACCCTCAGGAGGGTGCTCGTAGGCCACCGAGCTGCCGTCAACGTAGTGGACTTTGATGACAAGTACATTGTATCGGCATCAGGTGACAGAACTATAAAGGTGAGGTGTTTGAGAGGCTTTTTATTTGCAGCACTGGGGTATTTATTAACAAAGAACAGGGAAGATGGCCCCTGGCAGGATCTTCCTTTAGAAGCAGTGTTCTTCCTCCTGCACATTTGCACTTGTCCCTCCTCTGCTGAGCTGGCACAACTCATTTACAGAACTTAGGGCAAATCAGTTCCAGGTACAGATGCAGTTGAAAAAGAACATTTTTTTCTGTATTCTTTTTCGACTTGACCACTTCCATAACCTGTTCAGTCATTTAAACAGTTGTTAGAGGGCAGCAGGGTGACAAAAGTGAAGGTGAGTGGATAGGAGACACTTAAGTGTTACTGCTATGATCCCAGTCTGCAGCATTAAACCTCAGGAGAATCTGTAACATTTGCAAAGTAAATCATAGTCCAAGAATGCTAAACCTGGAAGCTAATTTGATACTGTGTGGCAAAAATCTTCTGCGTACAGTGACCCAATCTGCTGTCGGTTGCAGACTATAATCACAGGTCATCAGAGGGGTGATTTTCCCTTGTCTTGATGGCATCTTCATTAAGAGCATTCTGGATGCATCTGTATATCATGCAGACACCATCTTTTGTTAGTCCCTTCGTAATAATTTTGTCTCTGTGTGGTTCCCTCCCCCCTTCCTGTCACAGGTATGGAACACTAGTACCTGCGAATTTGTGCGCACCTTAAATGGCCACAAACGAGGCATTGCATGTCTGCAGTACAGAGACAGGCTAGTAGTGAGCGGCTCTTCAGATAATACCATCAGGTGAGAGACAAACTCCCCATCGCAGGGTTCTGTGCAAGCACACTGTCTCTGGTGCCCTGGGACATGCAGAGCTTAGGCAACTGAAGTGCTCTGTACCCTTGTCAGCTTTGAAATGCGCTTTCTTTGGTATAGAACATTGGGAACTACTGGGAAGAGATATTAGAAGCCTGCTTTACTGTGTGGTCTTTCATCCTCTACATCTCAAGAGTCCCATACTAATCAACAAGTTGCATTGCTCTGACAGTTCTGGTGTATGAAAGAGCTGGCAAGTACAACTTTCTACGGTGTCCTCTTGTGATATTTTAATTGGACTATGTGTCTAGTTAAAGGGGTCAGATTTGCAGTAAGAGGCATTTAATCCTCGGCAGAAATCCTCCTGGGCTCTTGCCAGACTCTTCTTGTGGTACTTGGCACCTGGTTAAGTTTGGAACAGCTGGTTTAGAGCATGAAGTTCAGTTTGCTGCCTTTTGCACTTCTCCAGCTGCCCTGGTTGCAATCTGAGATTTAACTCTTTCTGGTATCACAAGCCAGAATTTCTCCCTACATCCTGCAGCTGCTGGCAGAGGGATGTTCCACTAATTTCAGGATGTATATGGAGCAAGCTTGAATATTAGTTTACATGATACAGAAAAATGCCTCTGTCATGGAAATGGACGTAACAGCAACCTCCTTTTTCCCTTTGTCATTTTTTTAAGTAATTGTCTGCCTTTTGATAAAACTTGGAAGCAGGACAGTGTAAGTAGGAACCCTTCATTTCACATGTCAGTAATAATTTTTCCTCAGTGAGAACGATCCATGCTATTGTTTGCCTGTGGACTTGGTTTGCAACATGGTACCTCTCCCTGCTCTACATTCTGTAGGAAAACCGTGACCTTTGGTTGACATCATCAGGTCACCGTTCCAGATTTTAGTAGAGGGCTGTCTGAGAGCATGACCAGGAGACCTAAAATTTTTGTCTCTTAATCAAAGGAAAAGGTATTACAGGCATTGTGTAAGAGCAGCACCACTTGGTAAGAACTTCTGTACTTACAGCAAAAAAATAAAGCCTCTGCAGTTGTACTATGAAACTTGGCCTCAGAAGCAGAGCAAGAAATAGTTAAATACTACAGCAGTTAGGGAAGGATCTAAAATATGCAATGCTAATAAAAATAAATGTCAAGATAGTGATAATGCTAAACAGGAATACAGTTACTTTTATGCTTGCATTGGACAAAATCCCTACTTGACAGATGAATTGTGCTAGAATTTCAGGAACGTCAACAGTGCATCTTAATGGAAGTCAAGTTTAACAACAGTGTGAGCAAGGCAAAAGACTTACCCCATGCTAAAAGACATTTTAGCATTTTACCCAATGCCCAGCCATTAGCAGAGGGCACAAGTCAGTGAAAGGATGATTAAGAAAAAGGTTCCTAAGTCATCTTTGTGGATGGCTTGGTGCTTTGTAGGTTTGATTTTAATCCACTACCAGATGTTGTATGCTGGATTTCAGTAGATGCTGATACAGAACTTATGTTCATTATTCCTCAGCTGCAGGGAAACTTTTTTCCAGAAGATGTCTTCATGATTTCTATTTTTGCAACTGCAAACGTTAAGGACATTTGAAGTAGCTGAGACTTCTGTAGGGAGACTCTTCACAGAAAAATTATTTAGGTTTTGATTTATGCCTGAAATTTCACCTGTGTAAGAGGACACAGCTACACAGACATCACTAACATTGTGCTAATTTCCATCTAGCAGAAACTGGTCCATCAAGTTTAATCCAACCACTTCAGTCAGTATCTTAGCTTCTAAGGCCAAAGTTCTTAATTGCTACAGACAAACATGGTGTAGAAAAAAAAAAGGAACCAGGGAATTTAGGGCAAGAAAATAAAATTAGACTATATCATGTTAAGTTCAGTTAGGTTAAGTTTTTCATGAGTGGTTGGTCTTCTATTTCTAGCGTGTGCACACATAAGGGTCTGATACCAATCTGTTTAGACAACAGCATTCTCTCTAAGAGGTGGGGATTCAGACTCACTTGCCTTCTGTACATCTCCCTGCTCCGCTTTCAATTGAATTAAAGGCTGAGATAATTGCAGACCTCCCTCTACTTCCAGAAGTTCTCCCAAAGTTATAGGAAGGAGCAGTGGTAGTGTTTTTGACTGTGTACACATTGTAGTGATTTTTTTTAGTTAGTTCTCAAGCCTTAAGCTTAATTCTTTTACTGTTTGTTCCTTTGAATATTTAAAGAAGTAGAAGTTAGAAAAACTTATCAAATCTGGGAAGGACCCTTGGCACCAACTCTGCTAAGAGACTTTACTCTTAATAGCAGTTGTCCCCTTCGTACATGAAAGCCCATTTGCCATGTGACAAAGGACATGATTGCCTCTCGTAATCCCATTCAGATTCAGGTAAAACCTCAGGCTGCGACCTGAAAATACAGGCCCGAGTTAGGGTGATACAGCCTCCCAGAGCTGCTGGCACTTTCAGGATCAATGCAAGGAATGGAAACACATGGCACAAAAGTTCCTGGCACAAGATTGCTCTTCAAACCTTTCTGCACCAGTTAATCTCTGGCATTGTTTGTCCTGTTTACAGTCCTTGAGAGATGTAATGCTCTCTGACCAGCCAGAGTGCCTTTGGCTGACCTTTGCCATGGAGTTGCTTGCTCTGACCTTGACTGCTGTGCTGTACTCAAGTGAAAGCTGTTGGGCCCTTCACAGATTCCTGAAAGATCAACTTCACAGATTGAAGAATCACTTTGTGCTCCTTGTTGGCTTCAAACATGTGCATAGACATAGCCTCTCGCAGTTCTACAGTGACAAAAGCGTTCTGTTCATTCCTCTGTTGTCCAAAGTGAGAGCAACTTGTTGTGGCAAGACAGCTGCAGTCATTATCCACCAGCCTTGGGCACACATCAACTGGATCTGGATTATTCCCTAGGGAACCTCAGGAATAAAATATGTGGGGATGGTTTATCTCTGTCTCTCAAGCAAAAGTGACCTGACCTCTCAGCAGCTGTGCTGCTTCAAGATGTGTCACCCAGAGAAATTCCACAAACCCTCCATATTTCTCACCACTGTGAAGTTCATGCCAGTCAGAACACTTACTGAATGAGCATTTGAGAACGTTTGTGACTGCTTTCTTTCTGCTGTGTTTCAGGAAGTCAGAGCAGATATTGCTATTACAAGACTGCTGTATGAGCAGAGCATGTCTCAGCCAAAGATGGAACACCTCTAGACAATACATGTCAAAGAACTTCAGTTCTTGTAGGCAAATAATCTTTCTTTATCCATGGTAATTGGGAATCATGTCAAAGAGCTGGGGAAAGTATGGAAAACAAATAGACATACTTCATAACTGTTTGAAGCGTTTAACTGTTTTTCAAAGCAGTGTGCAAGTGTAAAATTATGTATTTTAATTTATTCTCCATGCTGAAAATCCATCATAAAAGCCATCAAAAACTCTGGGATAGTAACAGTTGAGAGAATAATGTGTTGCTGGGCCCCTTACTGTATATTGGTTTGGATGCCAGAACTTTTTAAAAATACTGTATTATTAGAAACGGTTCACATAGAGCCACAGGAGTTATTTGAGAGCAAGAAAAAAATGCATTTCAAAATAATAAACACAGACCATCCATTTTAGTTTGTGTGTAAAGTGCCTGGTTTGCAGATTAAACATACCAGGAGAAATGACAGTGGAAAAGGTCTTGTTAATTCTTGTACCTCTCACCACCATATTGGTAACTTAATTTGTCTGATAGTAGTCTCCAAATCAGAAATGGGCATGTAGGGGAACAGAAATGGGCTCATGCCCTGTGAAGGTGATCATATCAATTGAAACAAGCTGCCAAGAGGATTGGTAAGTGTCCCTCTCCTAATATCTTAAAACCAAGGCACAACACTTTTATGAACAATAAACCTTAGTGAAATAAAGTGAGGCTTACTGTGAGGATGGCTGGGAGATAACCTGTATTACTAGTGCAGTAGATAGTAGACACAAATGGTTTGTGACTCATCTCCCATGTGTTACTGTTACATCATAGGGTCATGTGGAAAATCATGTATCCATTTAGCTGTGGGAAAAGGAGCGATGAGTGTAATTTGTTTCTTCTTTCTTATTCCATCATAATCTTTATTTCCAAGTTTCCATTAACTACAAGCAAAGACCAAATGTTTCATTGCAATGCTAAGGTATTAAAAAATTCTTAATGCTTCTTTGTACTCTGTTCCAGGCTGTGGGATATCGAGTGTGGGGCATGTTTACGAGTACTGGAAGGCCATGAAGAGTTGGTGAGATGCATACGCTTTGATAACAAGAGGATAGTCAGTGGGGCATATGATGGGTGAGGTTATCAGTGCAGTCAATGCTTTGCTTCTTCTGTCTGTCTCAGTGTCTCCCATCCCACTTTGTGCATCTCCTGTATAAATATCAGCCTCTGTCTGTCATACTAAGAGGACCTATTCATGGCTAGGAAATGAGGACCGTGCTACAGAGCATAGCTTTCATTCTTTTGAAAAAAGTCCGTGTGATCTGATGTGTGTGGAACAGGTCTTGTGCTTGTAAGAATATCTGACTGACTCAACCTGAAACTTCTTCCAGTTCAACCACTTGTAAGAGCAATCTTTCCCATCTGTGGTTTTCTGCAGGACCATTTACCTACAGACTAGTTGTCTGCATTCCCATGTGTTTCTGCTAGTTATTACCACCTGCTTTTAATATGTTTTACTTTATTGACAGCATGTTTTAACCTCCCATTAAGTTCTATAAGCTTTACAAAGGGTGAAATGCAAGAACCAGGTCTCAAGAGCAGAAAGATTGCTGTGATTTTCCTTTAAGTGGTGTATTAGCTAAGTTGTACTAACAGTTTGTTTTTTCTGTGAGTACTTACTCTTTTCTCTTTAACAGAGAGGTGTTTGTCTATTTTTTCACCACTAGGAAAATTAAAGTATGGGATCTTGTGGCTGCTTTGGATCCCCGTGCTCCAGCAGGGACCCTCTGCTTGCGAACTCTTGTGGTAAGAGCTCTAGATGGAGGTGTTGAAGAAAGTGTGCTTGTTCAGAGCTATCTTGAGCTTGAAAACTCAAGTCAGTTTAGCAACAGTCTGCAGGATCTTGAAATAATTTCTAAAGGTCTAGCTTTTTTGGGTGTCCAGCTTCTTTTAATTTTGCAAGCTATTAATTGTAAGCATTAAAATTAGAACCTCTGACCTTTTCACTCTACTCTAGACTTTTCAACAGTTTTATTCTATGATTTGAAGTTAATAACTGAATCCATTTTTAAATTCATCTTTGGAATCCATATGATAGTGGGTTTACATTAATCTGCGTGTACCTGATGATGTAGTAGTAAGTTCTCTGAATTATTGGCATAAAATTTCTTTAAAATACTGCATTCCAAATTTGAGGAATAGGAACAAAAACACTCTCGGGATTGCTTTTAACAGCCTTTTGGGTGTTTAAAGAAAAAGCAGGTAAGGACTGAAACAGACAGGTAAGGACTGAAATTGCCTTTTATGCTTAAACAGCAACAACTCTTCATGCTGTCCACTGGTTTCTAGTGCAGGTCAATGATGGTGTGGTTAAAATGTCATTATGTGAGTGTTAACAACATTTACAGTCATGTTTAATAATGACTCTGCTTGGTCTTACAATAACGTGGGAATGTTCTGAGAAAAATGCCAGGACCCCCAAGGCCTTGAGGTGGTTCCTATAAGTGTTCCTCCACCACATTCAGCCCAAAAAATCAGCACTGTTGCTGGGGATAAAGCGAGATTTCAACCAGTACCAAAATCTCATTGAAAAATACATACTATATGTTTTCATTTCTTAGATTGAAAGTGTTTGGGCAGTGTTTTGATTGGTATATGTTAGACCTTTCCCTGCTGTGGCACGTGACTGTAGTCTGTGCTCTGAAACAGTATCGTACCAAGGCTGTCTGATTCTCTAAAAGTGTGGTTACTTCTCACCAGCTGAGCCGTGCTGGCTGACCTTCTGCACACTCATCAACCACCTGAATTGCTTCTGTTATAGATTCCACTAAAGTACTTTACATCACATTTGGTGCAGGCTGTGAGGTTACTGGGACTCAGCTGACAGGTAGTAAGATCATTATGCCTTTTCCAATCATGTATTTGGACCATCAGCTACAGGATTAGAGTCCGTGAGAGCTTTGGATGCCCGCAGGTGCTATGTTGAAAAACCTTCTTGTTAGCCAAATAGAAGTGCAAATAGTTTCATGGCTGAAATCCAGAAAAACCCTTTGTCATTGGTCATCCAGTTCTATGCTATGGAACAACTCTGCCCATGAGCTCATATCCTGAGAGTCTAAGACTTAAGCTTGGTATTAGTAGTGTTTCTGCTCCAGCCTGAGATAAATGTGTGCCTAGTAACCTGTAGACTTAATTTAACTGGTGTGATTCCTCTGCGTTTTCCAGCAGTGGACAGCCAAAGTGCCCCAGCTAATTATATTATAAATCAGAAGCGGTGGGATGGAAACACTGTAGGAATCCCAACACATGGATACTCATAAATCCCTGTTTGATAGCAATGGAGGGGGCCAAAAGCAGGGTGGGGAGCAGAGGAAGCTGTTGTGATGCTTTTAGGACTTTTATGACAACAGGGTGTCCTTATACCCGCTTACCCATGCTTTGGTGTTTTTTTCCTCTTCCCTCGTCCTCCAAAATTAAACCTGGCTGCACAATGAACATCATGAGTCTCCTGCTGCTTATGTTCAATTTTCAAACAGTAGGAGGAAAGTGCACAGATAACAAATGTTCGCTGCATGCCAGGTCCCTTCCAGTTTTGTCTTCCGTTAGCTGGAACAGTGGCCACATGAATTTGACAGAAGCTTTCCATGAACAGAATATGCTCACAGTTCAGTTTTCCTTATGACAGAAACAGTCCAGGTAGGGCAGCCTTACTTAGCCCACAGTGACTGGGGTCAAAAAGAGAGTTTTGAATAGAACTTTTGAAAGTACCTCCCTCTCTCTCTCTCTCTCTTTCTCCCCCTCCCTCCCTCCCCTCCCCATCTCTGTGAGTAATCCATCAGTGGATCTGATGTTGTAATGATACTTTTTGGAAGAACTTCTTTATTGCTGTAACGCAAAATCTGGAAAAACACTTCCTTTAAGAATAGGTGGGAAGACAGAAACTCAGAAATTCTCATGATTAGAAAAAAAAATTCTAAAAAATTTATCTTAGAATCTGGCTTACATATGCATTTATTTTTAGATAATTTTGCTTTAAAGATTCAGAAATTCACTTAAAAGCAGCTGTTGTTCTCTAAACTGAGCTGTATTTTTGTAGTGTTGTGCTATAAGAATTCCCCTTTAGTAATTAGCAATTCTCTTTTGCCTAAATGTTTGATAATCCTGTCGTTTCAGTATTAAAGTATTTTAAGACATGTTATTTTCCTGACCCTTAGAAACCCCTTACGATGTGTGAGCACTAAAGAGAAATGTGTGGAAGAGATAGGGCTCACAGTCATTGCTCAGTTTCTGTTCCCTGATGACCAAGTAGGAGGCAACTGCTCTTGGAGTGTTGTGAGCACCAAGAGGAAATAGACAACACACAAGGGAAAGCAGAGTGGATTTGCTCTGTGATATCCAGGATCTTGCCATTGCCTCCTGTTAATTATGGTCTGAACTCTTGCCAAATTGTCATGCCATTTCCACTCAGCCTCGGAGCAGAATGCAAACTGCCTGTAAAGAATGCCCTTTCTAGATCATATTTTTAGAACTGCTTAGGAGGAGTTACTGCTGTGTCACTGGACTTTACAACAGGCTCCTTGGTGTCCTCCAGTGTTAAGCTGTTCCCTCTCCAGCAGTGGCAATGATGTCAAGTCTTGAATGCAAGTTCTTATCTCTTACCCTGTAACCTGCTGTACCTGGGAATGCTGCAATTTCAGGAAGGAGTTTTGCCATGGAATAAGGAAGACAGTGCACATGTCAGCCTCACCAGATGGAATTATGTGGGGAGGGAGTTTGGTTTGTTCTGCACAGTGTGTGTCTAATATTGGATTTAAGGAGTAGTGGGATAACTGTAATATAAACATCCTGCAAGTCAAGTACTCAGATATGGCAAATCCTTTTCCTTGAGAGAGGGTTTAATTTATGCTCTGTGATGGTGATGCACAATGTGTCATGTGGAGTTTACTGACAAATTAATGTAACACTAAAATCAAGCCCAAGTTCATCTTCCCCACTCCATCCCAGGTACCATTTAGTTTGCAAAGTAACATTCTGTGTCTCCCACTGGCATTTCAGGAGCATTCTGGAAGAGTCTTTCGACTTCAGTTTGATGAGTTCCAGATTGTCAGCAGCTCACATGATGACACCATCCTCATCTGGGATTTTCTGAATGACCCAGCTGCCCAGGCAGAATCCACTCGTTCCCCGTCCAGAACATACACCTACATCTCCAGATAAATAACACTACACTGTACCTCACACTCGCACAGGTAAAAAAAAAAAATAAAAAAACCTAAAAAATAAGGTGAGGTTCAAAGGTGACACTGGATGTAGTGTGAGCCTGCTGCTTGAATAACTGGCTGGGTCTATCAGTATTTCTTGGTTATTCAGTAATTACAGTGTCCTGTAAAAGGACGGGAATAGTTCTGGTACCTTAGATAGGGACTTTATTTTAGGATTTGTGACATGTGGTGCCTGTGACTCTCCCTGAAGAACTCCTCCTCCTCCTCCTCTGTCCATCATCATCAATAATTAAATCAGTTGCACTGCTGTCCAGAAAGAAGAAGGGTTTCTGCAGAGCGAGTAGAGCAGCTGCTGCCTAACAAGAGGATGCAGATGGCCTGACCCTGGGCAGTTGTCACCAGGCAGGAGGGTTTTGCCAAGAACCTCCCTCTGAAGTGATGACCATTCTCCTCACTCTGCAGCAAGCAGATTCAAGATTACAGTTTGGCTAGGGGAGGAGACACTGAGGCACAAGCACAAGCCCAGGCAAATTAAATCAAGATGCATCAATGTGCAAAATAATTTATTGATAGGGCCCAGCCCTTGTTCTCTTTCGCATAGCATGGATGTTAAATTATTCATATCAGAGCCTGGATGGTTTACTCATCACCTTTTGTCTTGGCCAGCACAGTGTGGGGAGGGCAAAATGTTTCATATATTTGAGTCAGTTGTAGAGTGAATTTGATGCATATGAGTGAAGTGGGATAACATGATTGCCTGCATGGGTGGGTACATGCACAGTTACTGTTAATAGCAGTAAACGTAAGAGCAAAGAATGATAAAAGAGCTGACAGGCTTTTGCAAAGGGGTGTCCTGTCATGGGCCACATCCTGTATCCTGTTTGGTAACTGTACAGTGATGCTCTGGACCTGTCAGATCTTGATTTCTCAAACACTGGTCAATCAGATGTTATTTTAAATCATTAAAAGGCTTAGTATGAATGGGGTTTGTTTGGTTTGTTCTGTTTTTTGTTCCCAGGACTCATTTAAGCTGCAGTATTTAAATGCCAGGACAAAAGAACTATCCACGTAACCAATACTTGCTGAAGAGAGAGGCTCTCAGACTTGTTTCTGGAACAAGGTTGGCATGCGGTTGATCTCAGACAGGGTCTACTCAGCGCGGCTGACTGCTAAAGTGCTGCTATATCAGAAGATGACTTTTATCTTTCATGAACAGTTACCATTTTTAAACTTTCCCATCCCTTTCTTCCCTCAATCCCCTCTTCATGTTCACTCTTCCCTTTACCCCATTTGGTTCCCTTCCAAGCCCAGTCACCAATGTCCTATGAATATATTTAAGATGTCGCCAGAATGTGTTGCTTTGCTGTTAAGCAGAAGACTTACAGCCACAGTGCATCCTGCTGAGAGTCACTTCAGGGTGGGAGGGAGGGTGGGTGGGGAGGAGGCTGCTACTCTCAGGCTGAACTCAGTATCCATTGCTAGGCCTTTGAAAAAGCATTCAACTCTGAAGAGCAGCAGAAACACTTGTAACAGCCAGACCATCATCCCCCCCAACCCCAGCTTCCCTGTGGCTTTTGGCTGTTCTAACTGCAGACTTATTTTTTATGGAGAGAGGACCTTGAAATTTGACTATTATGAGCCAAATCCATCTCTTTCCTCTCCTGCCTGCTATGCTAACCCTTTGGAAGCTGGATGTGTATTGTAGTCTCCCCTTAACATCTGCTTGGCTGGGGAATGCTAGTCAATGAGAAGTTAAACTCTCCTGCCAAAGTCCCAAGCATGATGGACTGGGGCTGAGATCCTGTCCACCCCCACCCCAGGTGAACTGTTGGCCCAGGACAGTATTTCACTAGCAAAGGGATTGTCTGTACCACCTTTCTACTGCTGTTCTCCCTGAAGACAGTAGGTTGCTGATGGCTTATGAATCATTCTGTAAATTGGAAAAAATTTGAGGCTGGGTTGAGAAGGAAAGCTGGACATTGCTTCTATCTTTCCATTCCTTCTCCCCTCAGAGATGTGTAGCTGGGTATTGGAAGAGGGAGCTTTTAAAAAGTTTGTGGAGCTCTCAAGAGCCACCCTAGAGTGAACACACTACACAGAATTTCTGGCCATGACAATAAGACTTTGCCTCACTTGAATGAGCAAATACACACCCTGGAGATGGTGGTTGAGTAAAATGAGTGTGGCCATGAGGACAATCATTGCATTTAGCAGTGACTCCAGGCCAGTTCTGCAGCATTTCTGGGACTGGCTTTGCTAAAAGGGATTGATGAGTTTTTGGTCTGCTTCCCTAACCTATGTACTGCATTGCAGTTTAGGGACACAGGCTGATTAGCCCTTTTGCTGATAGCTGAGATGGGTCTTTGCTTTCTGGCTGAGACTTCTGCAAATTGTCATTGTTTAGAAGACAAAAATAGCCCTGAAGAGTAGGTACATGAAAAACAATTCTGCATGTCTCTGAACTAGACAGAGGTCTGGGGGTAAACGGCTCTCTTCACAGAGCTGGAACGAATTGCAGCTGGCCTGCATTTAGATTAGAAATGACTCTGTAAATCAGCCTCTGGCCATTCCAGGTCTAGGCCCAGATCTTCTGCTGTAGGTCTGGAAAAATCTCCACTGCTTTAGTGGGGAGTTGCTCCAATTCCGCAGTAGGAAATCAAGGTCCTTTGTCTCTGGGCTGGAGGGGTTTAAACTGGCTTTGTTAACACCCTCTGAACTTGGCAGATGGGATTTTTTAATAAGCTTTTCTCATCAACTTCACTTTGCTGGGGAAGCTGTTGCATTGTTTTTAATTGCTTGGGATGCGCTTTTTCCACCAGGGAAATCTAGCAAGGAGCTGGTCCAAGAGTCCCCAAAGAGCAGTGCAGAGGGTTTGAATAATTTAGGTGACAGCTAAGACAGACAAGAAGGCAATGGAGTTAGGGAGGAGAGCAAAGCTGGTTCCTGGGGAGTATCTAGTGCATTTCCTGAAGCACGTGAGCAGCAGTGTCGACATCTCAGAGCATGCGATGACACTTTTTTCTGTTTGAACTATTACTGTAAAAGAGTCAAACACGTTAACAACTCTGTTCAGGTAACAGTGACAGAGTGACTTACTGCTACAGAGTCATAAATTCTGAGTCACAATGTTTATCCACAACTAATTTTGGCACTACTTTTTAAGTCCAGGAAGGCTGTTTTGGCTTTCAGGCAGCTCTACATATCATGAATACTGCAGTCCCAAAGCTAAAGTGGCAAGGGAACAGAGAGAATCAAAGTTCACATCCCAAACTTTGTTGAATTCAAGTTCTGAGTCTTAATACTATTTTAACACTGTCCCTCTAAGTTCAGGTATTTAAAGGTCTGCAGCATGGCTGCATATCAGCAGGGGTTTATATGACCTTGGGTGAAGATTTAATGATTATTTTCCTCAGTTTGGTCATCCTCTGCCTTTTCCATTTCTGTTACTGTAGAAAACAATGATCTGTTACTCCAGCTGCTGAAAGCTGCAGAACTTCCTAATACTTTAATTGCATCATTGTGGCCAACACGTACAAGGATGTGTTATATTTTTGCTGGTTGAGAGAATTTGGGAGAATTGGCAGACTGGCTGGCCAAACACAAGAGACACCACCACTGCAGTTTGTCCTTGGTTGTCATAGCCCCGCTGCTCTATGCTGCTATTCTGTTGGGTCTTCAAGTGGTACCATACTTCGTACTCTGCTGTATAGAGCTCTTTAAGGTACATTTAGCAAGCAACTGCTGGAATCCATTTTTGGCACGTGGTAAGAAAGGTGTGTCACCCTCAGGAAGGGACTGTGTGTAGGTACTTCAAACAGGACTGCATAAGGGTGAGGATTCCTACCTCACTCCCCAAGTTGTACAAATTTTCTGATAGCTAAGAAGGAAACTGAAGTTAACTGATCTAACTTGAACTTGAAACTGCCACAGCCTGACATTTGGTGGTGTTTATTGTGCACCCAGGGAGGAGCAGTCTGGTAAGTACATCTCCCAATGTCAGAAGAAAGTGGCTTTTTCAAACTCCCTTCCCTTCCCTTAGGATATGTGTGCATGTGTGTGTGAGTGTGCAAGAGTACATGTGAAAGAGAGGTTTCAGCATGAACAGGGTGGATAATCCCTCAACCAGATTGGAGTAATTGCAGAGTTTATAATGAAAATAACTAGAACATGCCTGCTGAAAGGAGATAAAAAGGAGTTGTAAGTGTCTGTGGGCTTAAAGTGTTGCACATTGCTTTGAAATGAAATACCTCTGCTGCTTAGAGAACGTCACTTCTCCCACAAGTAGGAAGCTCATGCTAGCTTTCCACCTTGGATTATGGGATGGAAAGTACTGGAGGTGTGGGACAATCTGCTGTGGCCACACCATCTCCTGCATGTGACTCCTCTGCAATAGGGCACAGTTCAGCTGCAAATACTTCTCGTCCTCAGAGGAACACAGCTTGCTTTCAAATATGCAAAAAGAAAATGGCATGAAGGAGTTTGCAGTGAGATAACTTCTACAGATGTCTCCTCTGGAGCAGCTCCCTCTGCTCCCTGCTAACATTCAAGGACAGACACATCCACTGTTGGAATGGAAGGATTCAGGTGACAAGCTGAGACATCTGTGATGATCAGAAATATTGAAATGCTTTATACTCATTTCTAAACTGGAAGCTGACTTGGACCACCATGCTCTACCTGCCCACCTCCTGCTCCAAAGGATCCTTTTTTCTTTTTCTTCATTTTTTTTTGAACACTGAAAAAGCTGGAGAGTATCATGCACATTTCTCCACTTCCAGGTATGTGTATCTGCCCCTTCCACATGTCCCTTCCTCAGTCTGAGCAGAGCTCCAGGCTTGGTTCTGAGTTTTTTTTGCATCCCAGCTCCAATGGGAAGCACCTCTCTAGGTTGGGCTCTTGCCTAACTTTGTTAGCTTCCTTTAACATGATTTTAAATCTGCCTTTTGTGGCTTGTTATTCCTTAATTCACTGGGAAAGGGCAGTATTTCCATTTAATAAATCACAAATACTAGCAGCTCTCCTTTGCTAGCGAAGGGAACAAGAAGGAAAGTCCATCCTTCCTACTCCAGGCTTGCTCTTAACTGTGGGAGGAAAAGGAGGAAATGGCCTGAGTGGTTGAAAACTGGGGGTATGTGGGGATGGAGATGGATCTCTGCAGAAGTGGGGACAGTGCTGAAAACAGATCTTTTAGCTTTTGCTGTTGGCTGGGAAAAATTGAGGTTTTCCATGATCATAAGTCATCAGGAGGTGATCAAGGCCTCCAACTGTTGAACTTGTCACCTGATGCACCTTTTAGGATGCAGTGGAGACATGAGGAGAAAGGGGTGGTCTAAACTACCCTTGCCAAGAGAAGAATGAGCTTTGCCAGGGTCTCCAAGTGGCATGCATGATGCATTTGATATGCTGAGCTTTGCCCTACTGTTCCCCCCAAAGTGATAAGTAGCAGCTTCCCAGAAGGAGGGGGGAAACAGCAAGTGACCCAGCTGTCCTCAAAGGAGGTCTCCATATGAAATTCCTCTATCCTGCTGGAAAATGGATTGATTGGCATGAGGGGGTTACAGTCTTTCTGCCCCCACTTTTAGTTCAGAGATGGGAGCAGCAGGTCCCTTGGGTGTGTTCCTTCTTCAAAATCCCAGTAGTGGGTTGAGAGGAATGGCTGCCTGCTGAGACTGAGCATTTGGCTTCCCCATTGCCCTATTTTTTTTAAAGATGAGGTGTAGCCAAACTACTGGGCAAAATCCCCAAAGCAAATCCCCAGGGGGAGCCTTGGCACACTGGCAGAATAGATAATCCTTTGACTGGTCAGAAAACTTCCCATGACTTTGTGCTTGTTCCCAAAGATTGCTGGGCTTCCACACATCGTCCAGCAGATAACCCATGGGAGTTGGCAACAGTAGTTGATCCTTAGGGACTATACTCTCAAAATCAGAGGGATTCTGATGTACATGGATGTGCAGCAAGCCCTTTAGATGCTATAGACAACTCGTAAATAAGTCCCTTTTTTTAATAGCCTATCACCCTAAGAAATACCTTGATTTCTGCTCAAGCAGGAGCCAAGTGCAGCTGTGGCCAGAAAATCAGCATGAAATACAAGTCTTATCACAGAGCAGCTGTGCTTGTACCTGCACAATGAACAGTTTTTTGCCTTCACAGGCAAAGTGTTTTAACCTCCTGGCACTGAACACTTGTTTACATCAGAGCAAAACTCCATGTGCAGGAGGCACAGCAGTAGGCTGTTTGCAGTGGCTTTTACAAGGAGCTACCTATGAAAATTTTTGGGCAATTCAGTGTGAAAATCTGGAGCTGCTTTTGAGTGTAAAATTTTGCTTTGGCTACTGTGTCTTTATCATGCAAGGCACTGCAGGGCTTAGCCTGGCCCCAGTTTTAGCATGGCAGAACAATAGTGTGGACCTCAGCAAAGCCTATTGTCCCATTTCTTCCCATCATTTTCCATCACTGCATTTAGGAGAGCTGCATGCCTGCCAGGCCAGCCTGTGCTGCATCACTCCAGCCTGCTCAGGCTGGGGTGGCTGTGGAAGTGGGAGAGGTGAGAAAGAACATGGTTTCTCCAGAGTTTTCTGTTTGTTACTCTGCTATATTTGTTATCTGGATTCTTAAGTAATGAGTGCTTTGAATTTTGTGATTATGTTACGGTGATGTGTAGTTAATGTACTAATGTTCACTTGAGCTAGGATCATGGTAACAGTGTGGTTTGTTTTGTTTTTTTTTTTTTTTTAACTGTTCAGAAAATAACTTAAATACAAAGATTAAGCTGTGAATCTCTCCTGTCTTCCTTTTGGGGGGAAAGACACTGACAAAATATCAATCCTGTATCTTCCTCAAGCCCCATGTGTGTGAGTCACACTTCTGCTACACATGTACTGTACACAACATCTGCAGTGTGAACACCTGGAAGTGCTGGGTATGAAAGGTGGATGACTTTGCCCTGAGCCTGAGGTGGATGCAGCTTCACAGGACACACACGGAGTCTGCAGTCCCAGGAGGCAGTCCCACCTCAGAGCTGCTGCTCATGGACGAACACAGCATAAAAGACTGCCGTGGTAGTCAGAAAAAAAACCACTTATTCCTAAAACCACAGCATACTTTTTAATTAACACTCTCTCCATTCTTAGTGAATGGCCTCTGGCTGGGGCAGATGAGTCTGCCCTGTAAGCCAGAGAGTGGATGTGACTGATAGAGAAGAGTTGGAGCCATCCTGCCCATTAAAAAAGTGTGTGGGGAAACCTATAAAGACTTTGTGTTTTTCTGGGTACTGTTGCAAGATCCTGGTAGGAGAAGCACAAATTTGTTTTATAAGCTAATCAGAATCCTGCTGTTCAATAATGAGTGAGTAATTGACATATCACAGCACTGCCACGCAGTTCCATGGCTGGGGATGCTGCCATGCTTACTGCTCGCCCGAATCAGAACACAAGCACCCTTGCCCTCAGAATACCTTCCTCTTAAAAGTGCTCCTTGGATAGCAGCCTTGGATCTTTCCATTTTACTTAACAACCCCTTTTAAAACAAAGGCCACCGCAGTTTTAAGATCCTGACTCCAGGGGTGGTCAGAAAACAAACAAACCTCTGCACTCCCGACATCTCTCTCCCTGCTGGCTCCATTCTTGGGAGCCAGCGGGGGACTGGAGATTGTGAAGGCTTCTGCTTTTCGGAAGTGCTGGGAGCAGGATTCTTGTCACTTCTAATCTCCATCTCCCCTTGTGACAGGGTTCCCAGCAGCCCCGTGCTTTATTTGGCAATGCTTTGATGTTTATAGGTATATATGTGTGTGCACACATATATTTTACATACATATTTTTATATAATATGTTATATATATATATATATTTACATCACTTTAACCTTTTCTGGTTCCTCTCTGCTATTTCCTCTCATCCATTAATAGAGTTGGAAGAGGAGTTGCAGTCACAGGCTTCATCCATTGTTTTGGATTGGCCTGTAACACAGAATGCAGCTTGATTTTAACAACCTGTGAGTGCCAGCACACACAAATGAGACCCCTTCCATAGCCACAGTCCCAGGTGTCTGTGTGTACCCAAACAACTCACATACTGCCTGCTCCCATGAGAAAGAGGTTCTCCTTGTGGGTTATTTCTAAATGTTCCTTAGATAGTCCTTCTCCTTCTCCTTGATGTTTAAAGATGAGAATCACGGTCTTTATTTCAGATTTCTAGGACTAGGACAGTGCTGTCCTGCAGGGCATGAGCTGGAAAACTACTCCTAGGAATTCTGGACTGGAATCCAAAAACTCAAGTACTGAAGAGAGTCTTTGAGAAAGAAAAGCAATCTCAATTGTAAATTTCCACTGGAAAAGAATGAACAGCTTATCTTAAATAGATTCACTGGTTAATTACCCTTTCTGTTTAAAAATGTGTGCCTTATTTCCACTTCAAATGAAGGAGGAAAGTAATGTTTGCCATAGCTTCAAATTAACAGCGTTTGATCAACCTACAGCTTTAAAATGAAATCTCTTGTTTGCTGGTTTTTTATCGTTGTCTAATATACATGCTTTCAAGAGTATAGTAAGGTACTTTTTGGAAAGGGGGAATTGGCCAGTTTAGATTAGCTAGGCTAGAAAGAATGTAATTCTTACAATAACTGTTTAGGATGAGTTTAGCAGTTGGTGGTTTGAAGAGGATGATGAGCTCTCAGGAGAGGAGGCAGCGTGGCCAAGGAAACAAAAGGCCCTGAGCAGACAGATATGCTGTGATGCTGCCGTGGATTTCTGTGGGTGAGCTGTCTGTATATCCTGGGAGTAAGGGCTGTGACTGGCTCCAGCAGTGTCCTGGCCCCTTTTGTTCCAAGGCAGTGTGTGGCACAGCTTCCTGTGCAATGGTACACGTCGGTGCCCAGGATGTGGAAATGATTCAATGTTTTCTGGGAATAAGATGCCACTCCTAGTATTGAGAGCTCTGGATAGCTCTGCTTTTCCAAGTGCTTGAGCTGCTCCACGGCCAGCCCATATACACTGCCCACGACCCTGTCCCAGGAAGGGCTGCTGGAGAAGAAGATAAGAGAGGAAAAATAAGCTGCTGCTTGCACTCTCCCATGCAGTGGGCTGCAGCCATCAGAGATGTCAGTCTGACCCCTTTGCCAGCTGATCCATGCCCAGCAGTGCATGTCTGAGTACCAGACACTTTGTTTTATTCTAAAAGAGTTCAGACACACATTCATTATATGCCCAAGACAGATACTCTTTGTTTCATATCCATGTTACCTTCCCATCCTGAGCTTTCACTCCAGAATTGTTTGCTGACATGCACCTGGCTCATAGGAGCAGCTAGAAATCTCCAAACTAGCAGAGAAGTTGCTGAGCTGTGGGGCTGATCAGCTGGGGACTACTGAAGTTAGATAAGAAATATGACCAGGGAAACCTGGGCTGGAAAGGTCTCACCTTTACAGGTAAATAGCCTGCCTGCAGATGGAGAACAGTCAGATGAGCTTTCCAGTGCAACAAGACAGAGACAGCAGCCTGAGCAGTGCTTTCACTGAGGAAAGTGACTGAAAGCACTGACTTCTCTATGGAAGCCATTGTGGTTTGAAGGAATGGAGCCCCTGGTTAACATCACACAGCTGATGTATCCAAAACTCCCCGTCCCATGCTCCAAGCAGTCTGCTGGCATTTACAAAGGCGGATCAAGGAAGGTTTCTCCCCTAAGGGGCAGTAAGAAGGAGAGGCTGCCAGACCGTCTCAGTTTTTGCAGTGTCAATTCTGAAGGCAAACTGCTCTGACCTTCAGAGTGACTGTGAGCAGCTCTGCCCACCCTGCCCGGGAATGGGGTCAGTGGCTGCTAAACAATGCATCTTTTCGCCTTTGCATGAGCTGCTTATTGCTTCCTTGTGGAATTTATCTAGTTTGGACTAGATGGTGCTAGGCAAACCCCAAGAACCAGCACTGGGACCACATACTTTCCAAGGGATTTCTATCTCATCCTGCAACAGGGGACAAACCTTCCAGAGGGGAGCTATCAGCTCAGTGGAAGCCCTCAGGTGTCTCAACTGCTTCTCCATTCTCCTGGCCTCAGCAAATGCCATCACTCTGCAGGATGTGTGCTGGGACCAGCTGTACCTGCTGCTCTGCCTCTCCTCGTTCTCATGGGTGTCTGTGTGCCTCAGGCACTGTGTCAGATGCCTTGAGGAAAGGAGATGGGTGAGATCCCATGGCATGGAGTGCTGGGACAGGGACAGCCCTAGTGCTGTGTCTGGGGCAGCAGTGAAGCAAGACTGGAAGAGGAGCTCTGGGATTGATGATGGGTGGGAATCAGGGTGATTTATGGGCTCACAGCCACTTTTTTTTCATGCAGGAGTACCTTGCATGGAGGCAGGGGAGGAATGCCTGTAAAATGTGGAGACAAGCTCCCTTGCAGCTCAGAGTAGTGGCTGTTTCTCACCAGCCCTTGCCTGTCGTGTGCCACTATCATCGGGTCAGGTCACAGGAGTGTCTCCAATTAACCCAGCCCCCTGGTGATCCTTAATTGGCACTCCGGGCTTTCCTCCTCCCCCTTCTTGCCCCACCACGAGTTTCTCACCTCTACATCTGCTGTTAAGCCTCTGCTCCCAGCATCGCAGCCACTGCTGGGAAACAGTGACCATAACCCATATTTACTCCCTAAATCAAGGCAGCAGCCAGCCTCTGGCTTGGAGCTATGTCCAGAGGATGTCCCTGCTTGATCCCCAGCATCAGACTGTGTGAAAGGAGGAGGGGCTGTGGCTGCAGGGATGAGCAGGGGGCTGGGGGACAGGTATGGGCTTCAGTGCAGAGGAGCTGGGAAATTGCAGGAGGGTTTTTAGGTAGGTACTTACTGGGACAGTACCAGGGTGGGGGAGATATGGCTGTTGTTGTTGCCTCTCCAGAGACCACTGGACACACTTAACCCTCCATGTGCTGCTCCCAGAGATGAGCCATGTACATGAATGACCAGAGTTGGAGCATGGCTGCAGGACACAGCATGACCTGGCTCATCATCCTGTCCCAGGTTTGCTGCTTCGCCCTGTCTTAGCAAGGGCTTGGGGCGAGTCCTGGGCATGTTTAGGGCTGCCCTGCAGCACTGCAGGAGCTTTGGGTATGGCTGGGATTCTTGCTGAGTCATCTCACTCATGGTTAAGTCCATTAAAATGAATCTTCATCCTGCTGCTCTGGGGATGAACCAGGACCATCCCCAGAAGGACTGTGGCTCCTGCAGGTCTCCTGCACTGTGACCTGTCACCTGTCACCACCCAGGTGTCAGCCACCCAACACATCCAGACAAAGGTAAAGATGATGCCCTGATCCAGATGTGGAGAAACTGAGTCTGGGCAAAGCACAGGAAATTTTGAGCAGGGACCATCCCTAGAAAAACTGAACACTGGCAGACTGGCACAGGCTGGTGGCTGGGGGTGAGGACCTGATGCCTTCTGGAAGAGCTGGAGGGAGGAGGGAGGAGATCAGAGCTGGAACATCCTCCATGGGAAAATGTGGTACCTGGACTCCCCAACACCCCAGACAACCCAGCTGGAGCTGGCACAGCAGACCTGGGGGAGCCCATGCGGCTTTCCCAGCTCTGCTCCGCTTTCCTGGCCCTACAGGACCGTCCTGTGTGGGGCCAGCCTGTCGGGACCTGTCCCTTTTAAGCCCTTGGATCTGTTGCCAGCCGTGGCTTAGTGGGGTCCCCATCCTTTCAACTGACTGCTCGGCAAATTAAGAGCTTGCTATTAGGCTGCTAATTAAAGGCACTTCATTAGCAGCAGGGGAGGCAGCTCCTGGCCGCAGCAAAATTGGATTCCTCTGAGCAGCCATGAGCTGATTCTCTCCTCTCCGGGGCTGGGGTCTGTGTCCCTCCGTGTCCGTGAAGGCAGCTGCCTCGAGCCATGGCTGTGGGCTACCAGGCTTTCCCGAGCGCAGGGGATGGAGCACTTCTACCCCATGATGAGAGAGAGGCCGGAGGTGTTGGGGGATGTGAGGCCGCCCCTTCGCCGCCAGCCTCGGGGATGGCGCAGCGATGTTGCCCCACTTACGGTTCCCGGGGTCACTCCCGTTTAGAGGGGACATGCGAGAGCTCTCAGTGGTGGCACAGCATGACGTCGGTGGTTCCGCTGCCCCCAGGCTGGGCCGTGACCCCTCAGCAGCCCGGAGGTGCTGCCCCTGCCCCCGGAGAGGGGAGAGGCTCCCGGACTCCTCCTCCGGCCGCCCAGGAGCCTCCAATGAGCCCCGGGGGCGCCCGGGCTGCCTTGCCCTGCCTTTCCCTTCCCTCACCCCCTCTTTCTTCTATCTAGAAATGGGAGAGACCAGTCGGGCCGCCGAACCGGGGCTGCCTTCCTCCCCCTCTCCTCCTCCTCCCTCCCCGCGCTCCTCCTGCAGCCCCGCGCCGCCGGTCGGGAAAGGGCCCGGCGCGGACATCACTGGGGTGAGCTCCTTGCGGGCCGGGAGGGCTGCCCCATCCCTGCTCCCTGTCTGCCTTACGGTGTCCCTGTCCCCCTCTAGCCCTTGGCCTGACGCCCCTCGGCCTGACATCCCCCTCCCTTTTTTCCTGGCTTGGGATTCCTGATGGGATTAGGGGGGATTTGCTGTGCGTGAGCCGGGAGCTGCTGGGTGCTACGAATCCGGCTACCGTGCGGGCTGTGGGTGCTGGGGAGCGGGGCTGCTCCTAGGGACGCAAGCTATCCCATGTCCGCACCCTGCAAGCCCCATTGCTCCGGGGACATTCATTGCTCCGGGGTGCAGCATCCAGGGCTGTCCCTGCAGCTGGGAGTGCTCTGAATGTTCCTGAGCACCCCGATCCTGGGGTGGGCTGAGTCAGAGCAGCAGGGTGGCTGTTCCCGCAGCCACCAGCAGCTGGAGCAGGAGGCAAAGATGTTGGAGGGGGCGAGGGTCTAGGAGATGGGGCCATGCGGTGTTTTGGGGTGGGCTGGCACCTTTCACGGGGAACTTTCAATAGTGTTGGGCCACTCGCAGCAGCATCATTCAGCTGCTCCACTGAGGTAGGGGATGGGTGTCCCCTCCTTTCTCCCCCTGCCCTTTTCCATCTGCTGTCCCTCCCAGCTAGGGGCAAGGGTGCCCAAATTACCCAGGCTGGGTGATCACCATGGTAAAAAACTTCACACCACGGCCATAAGACCAGCCACGAGGAAGCTGGATCAGCTGGGCTGGGTGCTGGGCACTGGCATGAAGCAGTGTTCAACACAGGATTTATTCCATTGCATTGAGATCTTTGCTCTGGGCCAGGATCATCCCGACTGGAAAAGGGGCAGTTCATGACACCTTGGCTCCTGGCTCTGCTGACCAGGGCTGTGTTGATCCTTCCTCCTCTTTCCCAGCATCTCACCTTCCCCCTGCTGTCTGTCACCCTTCTGGTATCCTTTGGCTCCTCCATGCTCTATGGCTACAACCTTGCTGTGGTGAACTCACCGGCAGAGGTAAGGGATGGGCAGCTTCTCTGGGAACAGGGAAAACGGCTCTGCATTCCTCCCTTGGAGGGTGGAGGGACAGCTGTCCAGAAGCCCCACATCAAAACACTGGCATTTTCCTTGAGCAGTCACCCAGAGAGGAATAGCATGGGAGGGACATCAGAGTCCATGTTCATGTACACCAGACTAGTCCCCTGAGACAGGAGGGCCTGGAAAGCTGGGCACAACCTCCCTGCTCCAGTGAGAGCACGGTCTGTGAATCTCTAAGTCAGCCTTAGGTGATTCATCTCAGGTGCTGAAACTTGCTGAGCAAAGAGACCAGCACATCCCAGTCATCCCCAAACATATTCTGCCCTGCATCTCCTTTAATGCTGTTAAACCCATGATATTGTCCCTACAAACCCTGTCTTTCCTGGTCTCCCCCTTTCTGCCAACACATCTGGTGCCTGTGTGTGTCTCTGCTCTGCAGCACATAAAGGCTTTCTACAATGCCACCTGGTTCCAGCGGTACGGACACGGGCTGGCCCCCGGCCCCCTGACCCTCCTCTACGCCCTGACTGTCTCCAGCTTTGCCCTGGGCGGGCTGGTGGGCTCCTTGCTGGTGGGGGTTCTGGTGGAGCAGTACGGCAGGTAAGGGTGTCATGCCATGGGCCAGGGTAGTTGAGAGGTGGGATGAGACTGGAGGAGCTGCCCTGCTGCTTGTGCCTGCCAGGACTGGTGCTCTGAACCGCAGTGCCCTCCTCGTCCTCCTGGCCGGCGGCTTCATGGGCTTCAGCCGGGAGCTGGAATCCCCTGAGATGGTGATCATCGGCCGCTCCATCACAGGGCTGCACTCAGGTGGGTGTTTCCTAGGCTGTGCACAGCCCCTTCCTCGTGGCTCAGTCCCCTACAGCCATTCCTAGGGGGATGGAGAAGGCTTCATATTCCCCACAGGCTCTGTTGGAGGGGTTCTTGGTACAGCCACGGCCACCTCCAAGGCCATGAAGTTCCCACTGTGGATGATTCCGGGTATGGGTGGAGATGAACCAAGGGTCTGGCTGGGTACCCTTCTCCCTGCTGCCTCTGCCATCCCCGTCCCTCCTGTGCCCCCCAGGTATCTGTCTCAGTGTGGTGCCCCTGTACCTGGGAGAAATCGCTCCCAAGAACCTGCGAGGATTCCTGGGCCTCATGCCCAGCATCTTCATCTGCCTGGGGATTTTCTCTGCCCAGGTTCTGGGCCTCCCAGAACTGCTGGGCAAGGTGAGCACAATACCCCAGCCCACACATGCTGAGGGTCTGCCCTCCCCATAACACATCCCATTTCAACTCCTCTCAGGACAGGTTCTGGCCCCTTTTCCTGTCAGTGGTGGTTGTTCCTGCCTCCCTCCAGCTCCTGCTGCTGCACTGCTTCCCTGAGAGCCCTCGGTACCTGCTGATAGAGAGAAATGATGTCTATGGGGCCACCAAAGGTGAGGGGATATCCTAGGGTAGACTGGCTCTGGAAGGTGCTTCTCCAAGGTCTTCCAAGAACAGGGTGCATCCTCATAGTGTTCTTAAATACCCATGGTTCAGCCCTTCTATCCCACCTGGCTGTGCCACAGCATTTCCATGGTGCCCAGCAATGTGGTGTGAGGGTTTTCCCCATTTCCCATGGATGCTGAGCCCCGTAGGGGGGCTGCAGTGGAGGATGGGCCAGGCAAGCCCCTACCCTGTGTCATACCTGTGAGCATCCACCCTGTGCTGGGGACACACGTCCATGGCCCCACTCTCTCCACAGCACTGCACCGGTTCCTGGGGACCCCCGATGTCCAGGATGTGATCGAGGAGATGAAGGAGGAGCAGCGGTCGCTCTTCTCCATGGAGATGGTGTCTGTCTGGCAGCTGCTGCGGGACCGCTCCGTGCGCTGGCAGACGCTCTCGGTGGTGGTGGTGAGCGCCGGCATGCAGCTCTCGGGGATCGATGCCGTAAGCCCCGCATGGTCCTGGCCCCGGGACACAGCTCTGCAGACGCTGAGCTGAGCTCTGGCAGCTCATTTCAGCAAGTGCCCCATGGCTCCATCCCCCAGCTCATGCTGTGTCCCCTCCTCGGTAGATCTGGTTTTACACCAACAACATCTTCGAGAACGCCGGGATCCCCGTGTCCCAGATCCCCTACACCACCATGGGCACCGGCGCCATCGAGGTCGTTGCTGGGCTGATCGGGGTGAGTGAGGGACAGACAGATGGACACAGCCCCTCCATGCCAGAGCTCTCTTGCCAGCTCCCAGCACTATCAAACACAGAGGACGGAGTGGACCCCCAAATATCATCTGTGCCACAGCACAGCCCCTTTTCTAGGGGGCTAAGTATTTGGCACAGAAATTATGGCATAGGAGATGAGATGAGACAGGTTCAATTTAGGGGTCGCATCTAGGAGCAGTGGGATAATTTTAGGGTAGCAGGGAGGTTGGGTAGAGATGGCAGGCAAAGAGCAGGTTGGAGATGATGGAGAGGACTAGAAGTTCCTTCTGGCTCTTGCTTTCATTGTCCCTCTGTTAGAGCCACATGTCCCCATTTCCCCCCACCCCCAGCCAAGCACTGGCCTGGCCCCAGGCTAGCAGCCCTGCCCCCCCAGCCAGCCCTCATTTAGCTGGAGAGTTAGCACTGGGCCAGGCAGATTTATGGCCCTTGTCCCATCTGGAAGTGTCACCCAGGGCCAGCCCAAGCCACCCGGCACTAAATCCGCTCCTGACAATTACAGAGATGGATGGGGGTGGCTGCTCCCAGAAAACCGGGAATGAGTGGGGGGCTGCTCCCCTCTCCCATAGCCCAATCCAGAGCAGCGTGGGGTCTCCTGTCTCTCTGAGGGTACCCCCTTCTCTCCTCCCCTGTCTGTGGGGGTGTCCCAGCCCCCCAGCAGTCGCCCGGCGTACAGCCAGATTGCTTGGGAGCAGCCCCACAAATGGCCCCCGATGGACACGCCGAGATTGGTTATAAAATTACAGGCATTTGTTCTGCTGTCAATACCCTGCCTGCTCCCACTGCCGCTGCGCTGCCTGCCCACACCCTGCTTTGCCCACTGCCCCACAAACACCCTGTGCCCCAGCACCTCCACCTGGCACTGATGCTTCCAGGTCACCCCAGCCAGCCTCGACCCTGCACCCTAACCCCTGCTCGGTGGGACCATTTCTTGCCCCATGCATGCTCACCCCTGGCACTTTCCCATGCCCAAGCCCCAACCCTGGAACTCTGAATTGAGGTTGTCCCTGATCCCCAGGTGTCACCAGGAGCTTCCTCCCACCTTCAGCTGGATCTGAGGTTCAGGGGTGGTCCCATCCAACTTGGACCTCCCCAGCACCCTGTCAGTGTCTCTGCTCTCTCCTGGCAGTGCTTCACAATTGAGAAGGTGGGCCGGCGGCCCCTCATCATCACCGGCTTCTGTGCCATGGGTGTCTGCTCGGCTGGCATCACCATCTCCCTGCTGCTGCAGGTAGGGCCTGGCCACTGCCACCCCCAGGACATCACCTGGGGCTCCGTGGTGGAGGGATGGGTAGAATCCTGGGGGAAGGAGTATGCATGGAAACGAGAGGTGAGCTGGCTCTTCCATGTCATATTTTCCCTTCAAAGTTAAAGAGCAGGTAAATTTAGCACCAAGAACAACAACAAAAAAAGAAAACACAAATCTATATGAGAAAAATCCTGCTGCTTCTGGTAGCTTTTTTTCAGAAATAGTTGTTCCCAGGGAGGCAGCTGTGAAATGCCAGGGCAGGTGGAGGGTCCTTCTCCTGCTGTCTGCTTCCAGAGGATGCTCTGGCTTGCTCATGGCTCTGGGGATACTGCAAGACCAGGAGCTGCTGGGCTTGGCTGAGGTTGACCCTCACCAGCTTTACCCCAAAACACCACTGCTTGTCTCGCCATCTGTGTGGCCACTGTCCCCCTGAGCCACCACCAAGCCAAGGGCAGGCATGGACGTGTGTCCCAGGGGTGCTGGGTGCCCCCAGCAGCAACCCCAGTCCGGTGTCCCCTCGCAGGCTGCCCTGCCCTGGATGCGCTACGTCAGCGTCGCCTGCGTGGTCGGCATCATCGCTGGCTTCTGCATGGGACCAGGTGGGTCTGGGGGACTGGGGAGCAATGGGGTGGGAATGGGGGCTCCAGGAGACCAGTGGAGTTTGCAGGCAGCTGACAGGACCCAAGCCTTGGCCCCGTCCCCATGGTCAGGCCCTGGTTTATGATGCTGTACCTCCAAGTGAAACCCCACCACAAATCCCTCCAGCCCCACACATCCCCAGGGCACACTGGACATCCTCCTCCTGGGCCATGCTCCAGGAGGAAGCAGAGTGAAAGCCCTGGCAACCTTCCCCAGACCTCTGTGGAGGTCTGTGTGTGTGGTCTCCTAACACTGTGCAGCTGGTGACAATCATCCTGCCCCTAATCGAGTGTGGGCTCCAAAAGCCAGGAGTGAAACCTGGACTGGTTTACCCAGTTGATGTATTAGCAGAGCTCTTAACAGATCTATAATTCATCCTCAGCTCAGACTTTATTCACTGTAATTACATCTTTAATTAGGATTTTAATGGCTCATTGTTCACAAACAATGATGAATAGGAGTTTTAAAACAAAAAAAAATATATATCTCTGTTCTGGGCAAGCTGTGAGTAAGAGTCCATCGGGGCTCCACTCCTCCTTCACTTCTTACAGTTCTTTAGTTCATCTTTTCCCAGCATTTATAAAGAGGTCCAGCCAGCCCTGTTCCAGGCAGTTGGGACCCCAGGCATGTCACCATATGAAATACAATTCCTTTGTATTCCTGTGTGCCTTGGAATGTACTCTGGACCTCGGGTTCTGCCCCCAACATAGGGACAGTCCTGGGACACAGGAATTCTGTCTCAGTGACATTTGGCTGGAGAGTTAAATCCTTCTAGAATAAATAGCCACAACCTGTGTCCAGTTTTCAGACCACTTACAAGTTGACTTGGGAAACCACTTCCATACATTCTGGGTTTTTTCACCATACATGGGAAAAGCAGGTTGGGAAATGGCATTTCTCTATCTTTCCTCCCTGAATCAGCCACAGTGGCAACAGAAGCTGATTGACAGAAGGAAGTTTTCTAAACTGTTTTGATCAAGGGAGTCTGGAAAGGGCATTATGCAGGGTGCCAGGAAGATGTTTCTCTATGCCTGTTATCTCTATGAGATTTAATATATCAGCATTTAGAAACATTTTTGGAAAACAAGGGTCCAGGTGAGATGTTCCACCTTTATTTTGACTGTCTGAAACTTTCCATTCATGTAACTTGGGGAACTGGCCTGAGCACCCAGCAGTGTGCCAGCGTAGTATGTCAGGGGGACATCACCCGCCCCCCAAGATATATCCCAAGGGAGACCAAGGCTAGGACACCACACTCCCTGTCTCCTCCAGCTCTCCCAGCACCACCAGTTTGAACCATGAGTCTTACTGGGCTCCAGCCTTTTGGCCACAGGACTGAGGTGGGCAGAACCTGTTTTCCCAGGGGTCCTTTGGTCAGCCTGTCCCCCACACCCTTGATCTGTCCCCTCCCTCTGCAGCCGGTGTCCCCCTCCTGATGACAGCTGAGCTCTTCATGCAGTCGCACCGCCCGGCTGCCTACATTGTGGGGGGCTCTCTCAACTGGCTCTGCAACTTCACCATCGGCTTCATCTTCCCCTTCCTGCAGGTACCAGTTCAGAGGGGTCCTGGGAGACAGAGGGAATGGACACAGCCCTGCTGCTCTCCCAGGATGGTGTGCCAAGTCAGGGATGCCCATGCTCTTGGCTCAGCTCAGTGCTGGAAAGAGCCAGCCCAGGGCAGGGTGATGGGAGGGGACTCTGCTTCATGCCATGCCCAGTTTTGGGAATGCCTGGCACTCTGCCTCATCCTGCTCTTGTCCCCAGATGTCAGCAGGTGCCTTTTGCTACCTGGTTTTCTCTGGTGTCTGCCTGCTGGTGGCCCTGTACGTGTACCTTGTCATCCCTGAGACCAAGAACAAAACCTTCATGGAGATCAGCCACATCTTTGCCATGCGCCGCTCCGTCCTCTCCGTCCCAGCCCATCTCATCGGCATGATGAAGCTCGATGGCTATGGGGCTTTGGAGAGCAGCTCCCTGGAGGGCTCAGGCTCCAGCCTGCCCTGATATGAGTGGGCTGGAGTGGATGAGAATGGGGATAGTGGAGAAGGGGCTGGGGAAGGATGTGGGGGCCAATTTGTTCCAGCTTGGTCATCTCTGGGTCTCCCAGGACATCTCTCCATGGCACAATCCGTGCCCAGTATGAGCCCCATTGATGCACCAAGGCTGCACTGACTGCTGGGCATGACCCCCATGCTGGAAGAGACAAGGGGACCTCCTGAGGCAGGGGGTTCTCATTGCTCCTGGGTATGGGGCCTTGGCAAGAGCTTCTGGCATGAACTGTTTAATAAAGAGCATTGCTACTAGAGCCATTGTTTAGCAAGTTCAGCCTGGAATGGCAGCAAGCAGGAGTGTGTTGGAATGGGCAGGTGCTTGGACAGTACCAGGGAAGAGCTGAATGGGAAGAGGGGCTTGTCTGCCTCCCTACTGTGACTGGCTGGAGAGGTCAAAGTCACCCCACATTTTCTAGGAATGGTGGCCAGGATGGCTCCCAGGCTCTTGCATCTCACCCCAAGTTGGTCATGCAAAGCTGGAGGCTATTGCAGAAGGGACATAGAACAGCTCTGAGCTGGGCTCCTGTCCAGCCACTGTGCTACTCCACAGACTGCTGGAAGCCCTGGCTTCGTTTGCTGGCCCCACAGAGTGCTCCCATGGGAGCCCTGCATACTCCCAAACTCTCTGGAGGACAAAGGCATCCAGGGTACACCCTCATCCCCTCACTGCACCCCATGAATTGCTGTGATTCCAAGGTGCTCTCCAAGCACGACCTCTCCCATGTCTCTGCCCTGAATCCTGGAGGCTGTGTTAGCAGGAGGAGGAGGCTGTCCTGTGCCCCAGGACCCCCCCACAGCTCCCACAAATACCGTGGTAGACCATGGGGTTCCCAGACCCTCTGGGAGCTGTCGTTTTCAGGCTAACTATAGCATTTTGTTCCGGTGAGAGGTAAACCCAGTTGGTGGGGAGGGCTGTGTGGGCAAAACACTCTCATATCAACACAGACATAATTTTGTTGCAAAGAATTTAGCCTTCCCCCCCCCCCCCAGTTTCCCTCTCTGTGACAGGTCCACAGCTTGGTGCTTGGTGTTTGTGGTCACTTAGCGAGGAGCCCACCCTTCCTGCATCCCTTGGCACAGCCTCAGGGCACCTCTGGGTGTGTGTGGGTGGGGACAGGGACTGGGTTGTACTGGGTCCCCAGTGCCTGGTCCTGTTCCATCCATCCTCAGCCACCAGCTTGGGGCTCTCGTGCACCTTGGGCTGTGTAAAGGACATCAGTCAAGGCAGGGTCAGGGCTCTGCAGCATCAGCCTCTTCCCACTCCACCTCCCTCCCACCCGGCTGCTCTCGGCAGCAGCACAGAGCGGTAAATATGTGCAGCATTACATATGTATAATGGAGTGTAAATAACCCCAAAAAGTGCATTGTAAATAGACTCCAAGTTTATCCTTTATTAATGAGGCACTGAGTGCCCTGCTGTTTTAGAGCAGCGAGACTTTGATAATATCAAAACCTAAATTACACTTGTGTCTCTCATTCCCAGCAAACGACAGCATCATTTCAGGCCTCTTTGCCACTTGTATTTATTTATTCTGGTATTTATCTATCTCTCCCACCCAGCATGTGGGGCAGCTTGGAGGATGCCCCCTGCCCTCCATGTGGGAGGTAATGGCCCCCCTGGGACCAGCCCCCCCATTCCTGGGGTCTTGGCACAGCCAAGGATTTAGAATGTTGCCCTTTGTCCAAGGACTGCTCTAAGTGGCCAGTGAGACAGGGCAGACCTGGAAAATATGGGGTCAGGACCCATTTCTGTCAGGGTTTTGGATGCCACCAGAGCCAGAAGTGCCCTCTCTCCAAGGACTGGAGGTCACTGGCAAAATTCTATGCTGCCTTTTGGATGCATTTGTTGCTGGGGACTCATTTGAGGGCACCATGTCAAAGGAATGTCCATCTTCTTGCCCAGCACCCTGGGGGTGAGGAACCCCTGTGTTCATGGAACACTGGCAACTCATCAGTTTTTTCTGAGGCTACTGGGGCAAGGTTTTTTGGGGGGGTTGTAGTTCAAACTGCCCTATGCCACTGACCTGGTACTCTTGCAAAAGAGGAATTTGGGCTTCTTCTCTGCTTGTCTTGCCAGGGAGGCATTCCCAGCTGCTCCACTGCAGGCTTCTCAGGAAGGCTATGGCTGGGTGAGCTCTGAGTTGCTTTTCCATGTCCAAAGCTGCTTCCCCACGACAAAATCCAGTTCCCTGGACTGACGCCTCCAAAAGCACTGGTTCTGTGTGGTGAGCATAAGGCTGTATTCTCTAGCAGTGACTAAACAGACCTTGAAAGACTGGAGAAGGTGCAAAGGAGAGTCTTGGACATGTGGAAATGCTGCTGATCCTCTTAAGGTTTGCAGAAACAAAGATGAAGGTGGCTTTCTCCAAGTGCACAAGTGCCTTCTCCTGGTGTGCCCAGTGCTAAAGGGTGGGTGGGTGGGTTCAAGTGCTGAGGTGTTCCCATGGAGGGCTGGGGCTCAGCCCAGGACAATGTGGAATGGGAGAGAAAACCCTGGTCTGAGCTCTCTGATGGTCACGGCCCATCACTGGATATCTGCAGATTCTTCATGGAAACTCTCTAGGAGAGTACCCAGAGGTGAATGGTCACATCCCAACTGGAAAGCTGATTAAGGCTTGCTGGACACACCCTGGTGTCCCTGTGCAATCACTGGGGTGAGGCCACAAGTGGCCACAGACCATGGTCAGATAAGCCACGGAGCATTCAGTCCCTATGGCTCCAGCAGAGATGGGCTCCAGGAGGATGGATCCTGGGGATCCACCAAGCCTTTGAGGCTGAACCCTTCTTGCACTGGTTTCACGTATTCTAACAGCAAACTGTCCCTGTCACCTGTCATCAGGGATGCCTTCACTCCCCACAGATCTCACCTGGCTGCAGAGGCTCCACCAGTTTTGACTGAGGTAGGTTCCTGTGTGCTCCACCTCCTTTCTTACTTCATGTGGAAAAAATGGCACCGGGGCAGCACCCTGTTGCCCCACAGAGACTGGTGCAGAATTTGTCCCTGCCTCTTCTCTCACTAAGATTGTCCATGCTTCCAGTTTAGCAGCCATGGGAGAAGGGTGCTGGACACAGCGAGCATTGCCTGGGGTCAGCTTGGTTTGTAAATAGACCCTGTGTTTGCAGCCTGGGCCCTGGATGTATTTGAGGGATTTGGGGACTGATTCAAGGATTTGGAGGTGGATGAGAGGCTTGGCATGACCCTGCAGTCCATGCCTGCAGCCCAGGAAGCCAATCATATCTTGGGCTGCATCACAAGAGGTGTGACCAACAGGTCAAAGGATTCTGTCCCTCTAGTGCACTCCAGTGATTCCCAGCTGGAATACTGCATCCACCTCGGGGGTCCTCAGCACAGGAAGGACATGGACCTGCTGGAACAAGTCCAGAGGAGGTCATGAAGATGCTCAGTGCTGGAGCACCTCCCATATGAAGACAAGCTGAGATGGCTGAGGTTGTTTAGCCTGGAGAAGAGAAGGCTCTGGGGAGGTTTCACTGGATAAAGGGGCTGCAAGAAACTGGGAAGGGATTTGGTACAAGGGCATGTAGTGATAGGACAAGGGAGAATTGTTTAAACTGACAGAAAGTAGGTTTAGATCAGATATTAGGGAGAGATTTACTGTGAGGGGGGTGAAGCACTGGCACAGGTTGCCCAGAGAAGTTGTGGATACCCCATCCCTGGAAGTGTTCGAGGACAAGTTGGCCAAGTGGCTGCCCTGGACCCACGAGCAGTGCTCACAGTAATAACTGCCAGGATACAAGGGACCCAGAGGGTAAAGATAGCACACTCCCCCAACCCCACCCCTCAATTGATGAAAAATTCCTCTCCTGTTTCGACAGAGCAGAGGAATCTTTCAGCACCATGCCAGGGCATCTTCTGCCTGGGAAGGGTGATTTCATTAAGGAATGGGTCCTCTCGGCGCCTTCTTTTGTTTTTCATTTGCCTGATGGTGTCAGGAGTTTCCCAGGGAATAGAACAAGGACCCAGAGGCAGTAGGTGTGCCCTTTCCAGGTGTCACAGCCCCATGGACACTTTTGTGCTGTGATAAATCTGGGTCCCTTCTGGCTGAAAGTCAGACTACAGGTCTCATCTCCTTAAAGTGCAGAGCCAGGTCCAGCCTGCAGTTCTCATGGACTCTGATCAACAGTCCTTCTGCAGGTAAAAATTTTAAATGGGTGGGTTTTTTTACTGTGTTCTGGGTAACAGGCACACAGCTGAAACCCAGCACTTAAGGGGGTTGGAGAACAGTGATTTGTATCTTTTAAAAGCCTAAAATATTTCCCCGGAATCAACAATACCCACTCAACCTCAAAAAAAAATATATATATACATTATGAAAAATATTTACAATTGGGTGGGGGAAAGTGTTTCTTACCCTATGAGAAATATAATAATTCTGTATGGATGCCTGCAGGCCCGCGGCTGGTGCTCTGCAGGTCTCTGCAGCAATTGTGGGGTGCCAGGACCAGTCCAGGCTGGGTGGCCGGAGCGAGGGTGCCCGGCGGAGGGTGCACACCAGCAGATGGCACTCCCAGAATTTATTGCTACAGCAAGCTGCCTCTCAGAGAGCAGCCATGTAGGAGATGTCCTATTATATGGGCAGTTGACTTTAATAGTCATTGTGTGCTTAAAGCACAGCAAAACAACAGTGGGAAAAAAAAAAATCCCCACTCCACTTGGATGGCCCTTTTCCCCCCAGCCCTGCTAGTCTATTTGTACAGTAAATTAAAAATATGAATCACTTCTCTCTACTGCCTCCCCAAACACTCATCCTGTCAGGCTCTGTGTTGTCTTCATTTGTATTACCTTAATTTAATGTTAATTATGTTCTTCATTTACAAAGAACAAGCATTTACACTCCCTGTCTGGGGATTTTCCACACTCGCGGTCTCCACAGACGGGGAGGAAGGGGAGCGGCGGAGCAGCGGTGCCGGGAGGAGCTGGAACAGGGATCGGGG